TTCGACCTCCACCTCAGTCAATGCCAGTTACGCCGGAGGAGTGCCCAAGAGGTCCCGCACTGCCTATACCCGCCAGCAGGCTCTGGAGCTGGAGAAGGAATTCCATTTCAACCGCTACCTGACTCGGCGCAGGCGGGGGGGGGTCGCGCCCCCCATCTGCCTGTCCGCGTCCCCCTTCCTCCTCCCTTCGACCTCCACCTCAGTCAATGCCAGTTACGCCGGAGGAGTGCCCAAGAGGTCCCGCACTGCCTATACCCGCCAGCAGGCTCTGGAGCTGGAGAAGGAATTCCATTTCAACCGCTACCTGACTCGGCGCAGGCGGGTGGAGATCGCGCACACCATGTGCCTGTCCGAGCGCCAGGTGAAGATCTGGTTTCAGAACCGCCGCATGAAGTGGAAGAAGGAGCACAAGCTCCCCAATACTAAGATCCGATCCAATTCGGCCTCGTCGTCGTCGTCTTCCGGGGCCCAACAACAGATGAAAACAGGCCAGCAACTCGTCCCCACGCCGTGCACCGTGGGTCTATAGTGCACAGCCCCCACGCCCGTGCTCAATAAAAAACCCCGAACCAGACTGAGATGGCAAAGAACACAAGTGGAAAAATCGAAGGACCGAGTGAATATTTTGGTGTTATTTGCCCCTTTTGTCCCCCTCTTCCACTCTGCGGTCGTCTTTCGCGTCTTCACATGAGCTTGAAATGCATTTTCAAACCCCACAACGGCGACTGAAGGGTTCATGTGTTTTCTTTTTGTATTTTTATTTTTTACGAATGAAGGATAACGCACAGTCACATGGATTTAAAAAAAATAGTATTGTATTTCAGTTAGAAATGGCCAAACGGTGAGGTAAAAGCTTGAATCCTTTCCTTTTTGGATGGTTTATTTTTATTTGTCGTTTTTTTTTCCACGCGGAGGATTCTAATATACTTGAATGTTATGATTTAAAAACCATTTTTTACGAGTTTCCATTGTAGTCACGGTGTGTGTGTGTGTGTGTGTTCGAGTGCTGAATGTATAGTCGAGGTGACATGCCCATGTTGTAATGTACATATATAGACGAATTATGAATGAAGGCACAACGAGGAATGCATTTCTGCAGGTAGAGACTTTTTTTTCCCGGTTGTTAGTTTCACGTAGTGAGCTTTTCAATCCTTCAATCGAATTTGGATTCGTGCTCGTGTATCTCATGTTGTGTAAACTGTGAATATACATGCGTGTTTGTGCCGTCTCACTAGTGACCCCTGTGCTGTGTAGGCTTAGAGTGTAGACTGAATATTATGTCCTTGTGAAATAAATGTCCACTTGTAAGATCCGGGATGGCTTTTTGAATGGTTATTCAAAATGGAGGATTGGCGCGCAACATGTCGCCACAAAAATGCGTCAACGTCGACGACGCTGGGTTTTCTTTGTTTTTATTTTATTTTATTTTTGGGTGTGTTTTTTATTCGTTTTATTACGGCGTCGTGTGCACTGATAATTGGAATTATTAAAATATTTTTTAAAAAATATTTTATGATCGAGCTGTTGTTCGTCACATTGCAACGACAGTGTACTGCATTTTATAACTCTTCTCATAGAATGAAAATGCTTACGATGGTGATACGAAAATTATATATTTAGAGACACCTCCTACGGTGAGTTTTGCTAAACGTGCTCGGCTGTAATTAAAAACCTCGGGAATCACTGGGTGTTTTTGCAAAAAGGCTTGTCGCAAGCTTGACTTTTGACACCCCCCAGACGTAAGGCTTAATTGTCAACCGCATCAGATTGTTTTCCCTCGCCATTACAAGGCGACCTCAGCCAGCCTCGGTGCACCAGAGTGTGAGTGTTGGTCACTACCTGCTACATCCAAACAATGAAGGGTTCAACCAAGGGACACGGCCGACTCTGACCAATCATCGGTCCACAGCCCTTCTTGTGACCCCTGACCTCTCGACACATACAATGTTCAGACCATACATCAGCGCCGAGACCCCCGAGAACCTTTTCTTTGCGTTGCAGATTGACCCCGAGACGGCACGGTGAAAAAAAAAAAAGAAGTCCGTTTTAAAGGTGTGAACCTCGGCCATGAATTCATCCAAAGAGACACCCGGGTCAGTTTGGGACAAAGGAGAAGAAACGTGTTGCTTTTGTGTGAGACAATCAATGTTTTTGTAGTGGGAACGAATAAGATTATTTTTTTTAATCCCTGAAATACTGACGTGATGCCTGATGGTGCGTTTTTAGGACTTACGTTGTCCTAAAAACAGCTCTGCCAGCACACATGCATGAAAGCTGCGCAAAAAAAAAAAAGACGAAGTCTGAGTGACACCGATTTTGCGCAGACTCCATGAAGAAGTCCAATTACAATCTTCAAGTCATTTGCCAATAGAGGTCACTTCCAATGTGTTGAAATTTTAATTTGCCCATTCGCGTGGCTCGTTGAATAATGAATGGGCCTTGGTTAGAAATAGATGTGAGAATGGTGGCTTATTTTCATTTGAAGTGATCTCTTCAGGGCGTGAGTCACATCTCCTCTGCTCCACACTGACCGTCATGGCTTGTGAGTAGTTTGAAGACTTTTTTTTCTTTTCTCCCCACCAACCCCGTCTAGCTAGGTGGCAATTTAAAACCAATCGATGTTTAAAAATAAGTTAGAATTCAACTGTATCAAAGTTATGTGTATTTAAATCAGGTCCACAGTGTTATATTTCAACAATTTAATTGCAGAGAACAGTGTGACGAGATACAGTCAGTGAGTAATAATGCACATTGCATCGATGCAATATTTAGGTGCAGAGTCATGCAATCATACGAAGGCAATTTGCATTTAAAACCACGCATTATATCCAACGCTTGGAATTTCGATGCGTTATGGAGACTCGTGTGTTTGACATTAGCAATATGCGTAAAATGGAACGTATCGGGCATTTTAAAGCTGTCAGGAGAACTTAAAATGAAAGGTCCATCCGTCAAAAAAACCCACAATGGACCATATAGTGCCTTGTTAATAATTCACAGAGTCCTCGGGGCTCAAGTTAGCTTGTTGAACTGTTGTTGCTGCAGAAATTTGCTCACCTCCAAAAAAAAATGTTCATCCTTGACCCAAAATAATACTTGTTTAAATAAAGACAAGGAATCCAGCGTTCAAAATCAACTTTATTATGAGATAGGACCCCCCCCCCTCCCTCTATGCAAAACAATCCTCACAATCAAAAGCAGAGAGACGCTTTGCAAATATTTGCCATTATCCTCGATGTTAGCCCGGAGTGCTTGCCGAAAGGACAATCTTAACTTTAGCTCGATGTTAAGAGGTACACGTCAACATTGTTCAAAGATACGCTTCTTGTTTTGGCCATCGTCCAAAAGGGGTCTTTGAACTCATCCTCGCTGACATGATAAAGAATCTTTGCTTCGTGTAAACGCCTCGAAAAAGATCCCCCCTAATGAGACGTACGGTCATGTTCACTATAAGCTAACGGCTAAAATGTGTCAGAAATGCTAAACAGCAGGCTACGTTTGCTTTTCGTCTTCCAAATAACTCTGCACTTGAATCTCTTCGGCCCGGGTCACGGAAAAGTTCACGTGGAGTGACGAAAGGTGAGACAAAAAAAAAAAAAATCTCATCCTGTCCACGCCAAGTAATCCTCGTGAAAGAATTCCATCTGTAAACACAGAGAAAAAAAAAGAGGAAAAACATTAAGGGACTCAGACCGGTTAACAGCTTTTCCGTGCGTAAAAGTTATGTTTCTCCCGTGCGTAAAAGTCAACTCTCCCGTTGGTAGAAGTAACTTTTACGCAATGTGCATTCCGCCGCTCCCGTTCCTGCCTTTTAAAAGTTTACCGCTCAAGTTTGGGAACACAAAAGGCTGGACTCTGGGTGGGGTGGGAGTATGCAGGGGACGTTGTCCACGAGTGATTAATTGTTGTGGTGGGATTTTTCCACGCCCGCTTCTCGGTGTTGACTGAAAACAAGCGCCAAACGGTGCCGAGGAGAGAGAGAGACAGAGCGTGAAAGAGAGAGAGAGAGAGAGAAAAGCTCTTCCGGCCATGTTGGCAACGTTTTGGGCGTTCCGGGAGCCAGATTGTTCCCATGGCGCAGGATTGGCACACTCCGTGGGTGCAGGAAGCCAAACAAATTCCCCTCCAAAACTTTTTTTTTTTTTTTTTTTTGTACGTTTGCCTCTCAAGTGATTCGCATTGTTGTGAGCTGCCTCCAAATCGAACGCTACTCCGAAAGGCCACCACATAAAATGGGGGCGACATTGAGTTTCCTGAAATCGTATAAATCCACACACGCGGGGACTAATGAATGATCCACGCAAATGTGTCCACGTCATGAGCAGACTCCTTTCTAATTCAAGAGCAGCACTTGCAATAACACCTAATAGGATTTCACCCTGAGTGGGCCACGCGTGGAAACCCCCAAACGCGTGCGTACACAGAATCCTCCTTTTTTTATTTCGTCTCATTGTCCCTATTAATGATTCACAGGCTCAAATAAAAGACATTTAGGTGGACCTCGCGTCACGTGACGCGTCTCCGTGTTATGGTTGCCGCGAGCAAACCGGAGCCCCGATGCGGCCGTAAGATGCTCATTACAGCCCCACTTTCCACGAGGGGAGCCTTGGCTCGGTAGCTTGGGAGGAGAAGCAGAAAAAAAAAAGGAAAAAGAGACGCAATCAAATAGGAGAATAGCGCCCTTTTTTTTGCGTGTGTGCGTGCGCGTGTGAGCGTGTGGATGTATTACACGGCTGTCACGGACGGATATGTTTTTCCACGCGGAGAGAACCCGAGCTTAGGGAGGATGGATTTTATTTTGAGGCATTTCCGCCGATTGTTCGTTGCTGTGGTGAGTTATTGCAGCGGGAGGCACAGGTCAGTATAAAGCGACTTAGTCGGGGCCAATTATCGATATTTAAAAAATCATATCGAGCCTTATTTGCAAATGTAGGTCACGTGAGGAACAAGTAGACTGTGTGTTACGTCTCGTGTAAATCGTGGCCAATGCAATCCATCAATCAGGAATTTGGAAATCAATTTAGTATTTTATTGGGGGGTAAAAAAAACAATTTAAGACAATACTAAAACCGGACATTATTTATATATTTATTTAAATCCTGTTCTCGAAAGCCAAACAATATTGGCGCCTAAAAAAAAAAAACGCTTCGTCAAGGTGATTTCCGCAAGGGATCCAATCTAAAAATCCCCCCAAAAGTAGGTGAACGCTGTGGGGTTATGTCGTTCCACGGTGGGGGGAAAACGAGGCTATAATGGAAGACGGAGTGCCACGCATCAGGACGGCTCGGCCGCGCTGAGGTCAACGGCGCTCCGCTGTGATTTATGGGCGCGGGGACTTGGGGAAGATGGTGCTCGGCAGCTAATGACTATTCGATCCGTTTGTGAGAGGGGGAAAAAATGCTTAGCGGCCGAGAGGGGAGAAACAACAAACAGCATATTTGCATAAAGCTATTTTCATCTTCTTGCTTGGATTACTAAACAGAGAGACGCGGGGGATTTTATTCCTGAGGTGTAAAAATTGATTTATTTTGAAAGACATCGACTGATGTTTGACGATGCGGCACTTCCACCTATTTTGAACCCATGTTGGGTTCGTTTTAATTGTAGACAATTTTTAAACGCACATTGGGCTATTTTTTTGAACCAATATTTTAACCTATATGCAGCTTTTATAATGGCATTCAAATATTCACGTGTTTTCCCCTCGTGCCTCCCTCATCTATACTATCTTCCACTAAATGTGATTTCATGCGATAATTAACTGAAAGACCCTTGCAGACATATTGCAAATCATATTTCCCCTTCTCCGTTGCAGAATCCCGGGCCCATAAAGCCACCTCACACGCACAATTCCCCCGGTAAGTCTATATTCGTCTTTATTGATTTATCATGTGAAGGCTCCTTATTCCATTTTTTTTTTTTTTTGGAAAATAATAAGTAGCACGCCCACCAAAGGCCTGACAGAAGCAGTGTGTGACTTTTCTTTGGATGTGCAACACGAGCAGGCCGGGAGCAATAATTCCTTCTCTTCCACTTGTCTGCGAGGTGTAATTTGTCACTATAAACGTGACGAGGAAGGCTCTTGGAGCGCTGCCCCGCTCCTTTCAAAAACCCATTTCTACTGCAGCCATGTGCACGTGCAATCCATATTTATATCTTTTTCTACATCTGTTTACCGGCCTTCTCCCTTCGGCTTCTTCCTCAGACGCTTTTCTCCCCCACCTCGATGACTTTTAACCTCCTTTACGCGCATCAAAAAGAGAGAGGAGAGGAATCAGCAGTTTGAGCGCAGCACAAAGAGGTCAATAATTAAGCCGAGGTAGCTAAAAAAAAAAAAAAAAAAAAAAAATCCTCACGCGTGAATTTTTTGGGCCCACTCACCATCCCACACGTGCCGTATTTTCGACCTCTTTTTTCCCCCCTCCGTGCGTGCATAGAAAAGCTGACAAGACGTTTTCCTTTCTCTTAAGACCAAAAAAAAAAGACAACATTACCACGCAGAGGGATTCCCCCATGCAAGCTCGCTTCCCCTCTTCTGCTGCACGCTGCGTGGCCTCACTTGATCATAACACGCATCCACTTCGAAGCGAAGTGTGTGATTTCAAATATGATCTCCCACAAGATTCAAAGTTTCGTGATTAATTTCTCCGCGAAAGCCTCTTTCCCTCCGAAACGAGTCAGCGTTGCGCGACTTGTGCATTGTAAAGAGGCAGTAAATAATAAAATATAAGGATGGACTTCTCGCATACTATTTGTGATTATGTTCCAATTCTCTCCCTCTTCTCTCTCTCTCTTTCTTTCTCTCTCTCCCTCTCATTTGGATGGGGGAGGAGGAGGAGAAGAGGCAGCCACTTGATTTGAACTGCCTTTCCAAGGCGCTACTTCATTTGCATAATTTTTCTTGTCTATGGTGTGACGCTGCGGTTCGGGCCAGTTGACTGGCGTCCGCACGATCACGCAAGAGGTCCGGTCCAGCCTCGTCTATCGGCCCCGTAGGCTGCGTTTGCATGCATGGCTCTATTATTGCTCTGGAGAAGCATTGCTTCCAATGGCGTGACGATAAATTCAGCCCTTGAAGCCAAGATAAGACTTATCTCGGTGACCCGCCTGCTTTCGTAATCTCCATGTACACATCCACGTCGAGTGGGGAAGACACGAGAGGGGTGGAAGGAGGAAGGGGGGGAAAAAAAGCAAAGGGGGCTTCTCTCTCTCTCTTTCTCGACTCTTCTTGTTGTGGTTGCCGCCTGCACGCATGGCGCTCGCTGCTGCAGCCCAGCCCTGCCTCCTCAACTTTCCTCCGGATTACTACTTTGATCGATTTCGTCGCTGAATGAGAAAATATTGCTCGGTGCTCTGCATTGGTCGTCAGAGGTTAAGGTAAGCAGGCCAGGAATAGGCTGCCTCGGTTCTAAATGGCCGAGTTTGTGTGTCGCGGGCGGTGATTTATCACCGTATGACTTGGATCTCGGTTCAGGAAGAGTTCACACACTCGCAGATTTCTCTTCACGCGGAGCACCGCGGCTGCGCGCAAAATCAAGCCTGCCTCCAGTCGCTCTTTTGGGGATTAATGCGCAGTTTTGCCACGCAATCTGTTGGAGGGGACATCGGCCCGAGTCTTCTCCGGCTGCGGATGCAGTCAAGACGATTACTTTGACTTTAATTATTCGCTCACCGGAGCTCGTTTTGAACACGTTTAACGGCTTGTCACGCACCGCTGCGCCAAGGCAATTTTCATTCATATTTGCACAAAAAAACCCCAAAACTTTTTGGGTAGTTTTAATTTTTTTTTTTTTAGTTTCACTTTAAATACATTTTTAATGATTGTGTTCTAATGCTTGAACGAAGGAAACAAATGTAAGGTTATACTTCATATAGACTACCAGTCATAATCATTTTTAAAAATCGATCCTTCCATTATCTGAACCGCTTATCTTCACGAGGGTCGCAGGGGCGCTGGAGCCTATAAATACATACATTTCATTTATTATTATTAATATTATTATTATTGTTATTATTACTATTATTATTATTATCATCGTCTGTAAATTTAATTCGTCTAATATTCGGGGTATGCAAATAGCGGCCCACTTAACGTAAGACGTTTTAACGGATAGATTAATTTTAAAGTCAGGGTGCAATAGTTGATTTGTACTTTTTATTTACTGATTCGATTTGTTTGTTAAGTTTGATGATTATAATATTTTCCCCAAATTGTTATTTAAATTAAATCAATAATGTTTAGGGTACCTCAGTGGCGTTTCTCGTTAGGCCTGATTCTGGCCGGTTGCTCCGAGCTGGGTCCGGTAACCCTCGCGTGCCAGCAGGACGGTCAGCCGCGTCGCCGACACCATCAGGCGCCATTATTATGGGTCAGCACAGCGAAAGTTCACATTTTGATCCCGAAGATGCACGAATGTCCAACCCGGTTTTTCAGGTTTTCCGCAGCTTTTATCTTGAAAAAAGACACAGAAGGGGATGTGCTCGTTTACGCCTCGCAGGCAAGTGGCTGCGAAACGTCACAGACAACATCAACAACAACAAAAATGGCTTGAAGTCAACAATTCCAAATGTCATTTTATTTAACCTCTCACGGACATTCAGAATGTGATTCCATTGCGTTGCTAATGAGAGCAGCGTCTTCAAACGACTTTCCCTTTCTCGTTAGGTCCCGCAATTGATTTGGCAATGTGAGCTGTTTTTGCGTGCACGTTGTTTTTAGCACAGATGGCAATAGAAGGTTGGCCGGTGCAAGGCAGAAGGTAAACGGTAATAGCGCGCACAAGCGGCGCTCCCTATCTCGCCTATGGCGCGCAGTGTCAGGCCTGCATTGAAAAGTAAGATGGATCGCCACCATTTCGTCTCCTCACAGTGCTTGTTGTAACCCCAGGTTCACCCGAGGAGGCCATTGGCGGAGAGGCGTCACGTGACCACGGGGTGCCAATGTTCTTCTACAAGGGTGTCAAGACCCTGTCACTTTGTGAAATAAATATTGGGAAACGGCGAGATGCAAAAGGCAACCTACTACGACAGCTCGGCAATTTACAGTGGCTACCCGTATCAAAGCGCAAATGGCTTCAGTTATGATGCCAATCAGGTCCAATATCCCCGCGCCTCTCATGTGGAAAGTGACTACAATCGACCCGCCTGCTCCCTGCAGTCTCCTGACGGCTCGGTGGCTCCTCTGCACAAGCCGCTGGAGATGCAGGCGGAGAGCTGCGACGGCACGGCGGCGCCGTCCAGGGCGCGTCATCCCGAGGGCAGCCCACCTCCCTCCCGCTCCCCCTCCGATAGCGGCCAGAACGCCAACAACGGCAGCGGGCAACCGAGCGCCAAGAGCGGCTCGCCGTCTTCGGGCGCCCGCGGCAAGCAGATCTTCCCCTGGATGAAGGAATCCCGCCAGAACACCAAGCAGAAACCCGCAAATAGCGCCAGTTCAGGTACAACACACGCAACCTGCACCATGAAATTCATGCTAGGGGGGGAAAGAGGAGGAGGGGCTGAGGGGGAGGTCGAAACACGCTAATATAATACTCCCACTGTGAAGGCCACAGCAAGTGGAAGGGAATGTTCCCACTTCTTCCCCGTGCTTTATGTGTCACATAGAGGGAATTTTTACATGCGACTTCAGGAAGCACGGAGGGGAATAATCAACACCTCTGAGTAGTTCTGTTAACGGCGTCCAAATTCACTCTGGAAAGGACATATGTGGGATGGAAAGGGCCACGCACCCCCACCTCAGCGGGGCAGACTAAATAAGGCCATGCTTTGGGACGAGAGAGATCCCACCGTTTGCCTGCTGCCCCCTTGGCCTGCAGATGACCTCTGCCTACTGTAAACATACACACCGCACTGATCACATAGCGTCCCCACCGAGTCAACAAACACACTAACATGGGCCAGTTGTCTCAGCGGCTAAACCTTAGGAAGCCACGTGACTCCGAACTCGATCACTCAGCCCTTTTCCTTTACAAGAGCGGCATATTATTATAGTTTGGTGTCATGTTTAATTCTGTTCCCCCCACCACCACCACCACCACCACCATAAATTTACGAGCTAGTAGTTCCTCGGTGGAAGTTATGTCATCCTTACAGTCCCTGTGCTCCATGTTTGGCTCGACAGGTAGTAAAATTTACTATGTGCTGTTGGCCACCTGCCACAAAAACTCCAAGTGTGCCTTGCTTTGCTGAAGTCGAGACTGCAAGAAGGGGCAGGCTTATCTGTGAAGTTGCGCACACAATGAGAAATGTGCTTGAGGCATGTGCTACTGTGTGACGATGTGGCTGGAGTGGGGGTGGGGGGGGGCGACTCCATAGACAAGACACTGGCCTACTTTCCTTGAGTTGTAGTTTCATGGTTCTACACGAGGCTTTTCAGTGTGTATGAGTGAGGCGCACACTTTCATCACATGCGGGGACCTGACGAGAAGTTACACCTACTCCAGTCTGCCTTTACATGTTCTGATTGCCATTGACAGGCAGGTGTTCGTTATTGTGGTTGCGGGTGACGTGTAAAACTGCATTAGACCGTAATGAGACATATTCCTTTCGTATTTGTCCCATCTCATGTTGTAAAAGACCCCGAGTCACGGGAGTTGAGCCTGAGGCTCGGGGGTCAGCTCCAGCTCACCAAATCATTTTACGTGGGCCGGGGCGAGGTCAGACATACATCTTTGTGATCATATCAGGCAGAGAGAGAAACACAGGCAACTTTAACCTCACACTGTACACTATGAGGTCACAAATCAGCATTTTTGAAGTGCAAAAGGCATATATTTTTCATCATGTTTCTGATGAAACATATTCATTGTTTTTGTTTGAGCTGAAAACAGATTGTACAAGCATTAGATGGTTGCCCATGTTTTCCACGCCTTCTGATTTCAAATTCAAATTGTCAAATTCCGTAACAATCAATGCAGGCGGCATTGTGCAAGTCTAAAAGTATATCTGATGAGGTGATTAGACATTGATGGGATTTTTACAGTCATCACGGCCGCCTGAGAGAAACCACAACGTGGCCTACCATGGCACTCTGCCTTCATTGTGTTGCCAAAGAGATTAGAAATTCACAGTGGCCTCCCCAATACCTCTCGTCAAACTTATCAGTCTGAAATGTTGCCAGTTTGTTTTATATATATATATATATATATATGTTTTGATAGTGCACTCCAAAATTCAACAATAATGTAGTTTTTAAAATACTTCTCTGACAGCGTGTCAATCAAAACTTTGCATTTGTATATTTCACCTTTAAAAGTGCTGGGCGGAAAATAACCCAATTTTGGTCCAAAAAATGCCAACAACCCAAGTCGTGGGTCGGTCCACAATTGGTTCATTTTTTGACCTCGCAGTTTTAAGAGTGTTGTGAATGGGGAAAAAAATGCTGATATCATAGCGTCCATGTGTACCCAATGTTGTGGCCTGTGAGTGTATTTAACCAGTAAGCAAACACTCCTGTAGTTTTCTTATCAGCTGTGTTCTGCTTTCACTCTCACTGTCCTGCCTGTAATGGATTACTGATTGACACCCTCCTCCTCCTCCTCCATCCCCTCACAGCGGAGAGTTGCCCGGGAGACAAGAGTCCTCCTGGGTCGGCCGCCTCCAAGAGGGCCAGGACGGCTTACACCAGCGCCCAGCTCGTGGAGCTGGAGAAGGAGTTCCACTTCAACCGCTACCTTTGCAGGCCTCGCAGGGTGGAGATGGCCAACTTGCTCAACCTGACAGAGAGACAGATCAAAATCTGGTTCCAGAACCGCAGGATGAAATACAAGAAGGATCAGAAGGGCGTGGGGATGATGCCTTCCCCTGGGGGGCAGTCCCCTCGGAGTCCAGTGGGCCCCCCTTCCGGTGGAGGATACCTCAGCTCTATGCATTCTCTCGTAAACAGTGTTCCTTATGAGTCCCAGTCGCCGACGTCTTACAGTAAGAATCACCCGAACGCGTACGGCATGCCTACGTCATACCCTCCCGCTGGTTTGAACAGCTCCCACAAAAGGTATCCCGACTCGGCCACGCCCGAGTATGACGCGCACCCCCTGCAGGGGGGCAACTACGGCACGCACATGCAAGGCAGCCCCGTTTATGTCGGCGGAGGTTACGTGGAACCCATGGCCAACTCCGGGGCTTCCGTTTTCGGCCTGACGCACCTCCCGCACCCGCCGTCCTCCAACATGGACTACAACGGAGCAATCACGATGGGCAACAGTCAGCATCACGGCGTGTGTGATCCAACGCCCACGTACACAGACCTTACACCGCAATACTCTCAGGGAAGAATCCAGGAGGCGCCCAAGCTGACTCATCTGTAGCGGTGCACGGCGCAGTCCGTATCACTCCGCCCATTGTCTTGTAGCCACCTCGGGACCGCATCACCATCTTTTGTTTGTGTGCCTCCACACAGCGCCGACATTCTCTCTTTCTCGCGCTCTCGTTTTGTTTTTTTCCCCTTTCGGTTTCTTTTAGTTCGATGATGTGTGAAGTAGCGTATAGGATAAATGTCGATATTTTTTTTTTTGAAAGACATTTCTGAGGTCTCGAGGAGGATGTCGAGCGAGCCAAGGCCTATTTAATCTATTTTAAGTGTTTTTTTTTTTCAATTTCAAACAGGGTATTATGAAAACATGTTATTCGTTTTTTATGTGAACTTATTTATCCGCATTTGAAGTTTTTTAATGCATTTTGTTGCACTTGTGAAAGGATCCAGGGCATACGTGAAAGAAATGCATTTGTCAAATTAAGGGTCACGAGCTAATCGGCTGCAACCCTTTTGCTCGTTTTGTTCTATTTGGACTTTCTGATGTTATTTATTTTTTGTTTAGTGTTAAAAGTAGTCCTGTTATTATTTGACACCCTTGCGAGAAGCTCAGTGGGTTCAAGACCCCCCCCCCTCCCCATTTTCAGCCCACGTCCTAACCACGCAAGCTCCATTTCCACCCTTCTTCTTCGATTAAACAATTCGTTTTTATTTTAATTTTCTTACGGAATATAAAATCAATCGGTCGACACAATAAGGGTGGAAATGAGGATACACTTTCGTCGTTTCTTTATTGAAAAATATTCAAACACACGACAAACCCTTTCATACATTCCATGCTGCTCCAGTTCGAAGAAGTAAATAAAACAATTGAAATACAACCAAAGCATATCTCTTTTAATTCAGACAAACTATCAGAATGCACATCATTTATTTTTGATTGAAAAACGAGACTGAAGTAATCATTAGGTTACCTGCATTCGCCTTGGAAAGTAGTGCGTAAAAAAAACTCAACGCACAAATAAACTTGTCATAAATTATTCTTGTATAAAAAAAAAAATCTGCCATTAACATCCTTCAGCAAGATATCTGGAACTGGTGGTTACATGCAAGCAAAAAGTTGCATAATTTATTTCTCTCTCTTCCTGATGAGACGTGAAGAAAACTCTCGGGTGGCCTTCTTCCCTCCTCTCATTTCATCTGCGTGGGCACATCCATAATAATAAAAATGTCAAGCGCCGGACTTTTCAGCGGCCCCTGGAAGCAGACAACAATTTAAATGAGAAATCGTTTGAAAACTAATGTCCCTGAATGTGTTTCGATTCGGTCAAATGTGGCCAGAGAGGATACGAGCTCCAAGTGAATTCTTACCGGCCTGTTTGTCTCATTATGCAGCAAAATGCACGTAAAAGTCCAAATATCCTTAAATGCATCGTTAAGGATGATGGCTGAAGAAATTTTAATTATCCTTGGAATTGGTTTTCAACGTCGAAACATTTTTAAAGTGCACTAAAACGAATATGATTCGGGGGAAAAAAAAACAATAAAACAAAACAAATATAATCTTGAATGTTCTCTCTAAAAAGTTCGTTCCCAAGTACAAAATATAAGCATGTTTTTTTTTCGTTCCAACATGTACTGCATTCTCACGATGCTCTAAACAAAACAATATTTTTTCTTCATGTGCAAATGTATTTTTTTTTACTTAATAATGTACCCCCCCCCCCCAAAAAAAAGTCATTTCCAATCTGGATGTGAGTGATATAACGGGGCATTAGTATCCATGACATATGGTTAGCAGGGAAACCCGGAACAATTGAACCATGGTGTGTCAAAGCTGGACTCGTGCATCCACATGCATTCGCACAAGGCGCTGATCTGACCCATATGTGCCACCACGGCTGCATTTAAACCAATACAATCAGTCGTTTTTTTGTTTGCAATATATTTACATCCGTGGGAAAGTTGTTAAATCACTCTTGCAATGTGTGTAGGCTCACCCCCCCCCCCCAAAAAAAAAATCCTCCACCCACTCCTTTCCTTTTACACAAAGCCTGTGCGTAATTCCAAAATTCCCCATGGCAACCCTTACCACACTAAACCGCTTCGATATCTGCAAAAATATCCCCATCGAAGTGTGTAAATCGCGTTCCCGTACGAGAGAAGCTGCATCAAATCCAGGTGGAAACGTTTTCGATACTCACCCGCGCGTTGTGTTCACTGCCTCCCCCTGCACGGAAATATACGCGCCCGCCTTGTACGATTCCTATTTATCTTTGAAACCATCCCTCCAGCGACAGCTCACAGCTCGAGCTGGAAGGAGCAGAAAATGGTTCTAATCTGAGTGACCAGTGTTTCTCGTCGCTTCCTGCCTGCATTTGATCCGGGGGAGAGTTAGAAGCCTTAAATGTGTTGTGAGGGCACCGAGCTGTCAGACCTTTTGGCGAGTAAGATTGATCGCGTGCAGCTTTCCAGCACTCTTTGTTTGGTATATAAGCAACAAACTGAGAGAGACCTATACCACTTCATCCTCCCTCTTCCTCACCAAGTCATATTTTTTTTTCTTTCGATGGAAATATACCACGGTGTGTTTAAAGGGGGTGAAACATTCCCATAAATGTGACGTTCACAGATGACTTTGGAAGGACAATATAGCAGAGTCGCAGCAGGGGGGATGGGGGGCGGGGGGCGACGTTCCGTAATAACGCTTCAAATTATTCGTTTTTAATGTTTATGACAACCATTATGGTCATTGCTTAGCTTGAAAGCTCACCGTAGACGCCTTTATTGTGTTGGAAGGCGTTTAAAAGGGCTAATGGGACAAACAGGAAAGCAGATTCGCTGCGATTGGAGCCTTCGCAGCGTTCAACCTCGTGTGCGTAAACAAGTAGCATATTGCAGGTTAATATGTGATTTTTGTGTCCAAATATGAGTGCACACATTTATGAGATGTACGTCAAACTGCTGTCATGGTGCGTTAATGGCCTCAAAGTGTCACGAATAATTGAATATGTGCTCTTTTTTTTTAAGTGCTGCTCATCCTCGTATATTTTATGTGTAGTGTATAGGAAAAAAAGATGAGAGCCATGCAGGATTCAATGAAAAAGTCTTAATAGCACTTTTAGGGTATGTTGTGTGTGCGTGCGTGCGCGCGTGGGCGCGTGTGTTGGGGGGCGTTCTCGCCTGACATCCTCAAACAATACGAGAAAGAGGAGTGCACGAATCCGCGCGCCCTAAGCTTGCGGTCCTTCCCTGTAATAGTGAGTCGGCCATTCTTAAAAACACACTTTTCTTTTTTTCCCCCGGGTGGGGGTCTTTTCTCTTAGTGGTGCGCAGTCGGGAGGATTAAGATGTAAATAAACGTGGCACAGCTGAGCGGCAGCAGCAGAAGACTTTTTGGATCAATCAGGCAGTCAGGGGCTTCTTTTGATTAAAGCCCAAATTGTCATTGGGCAGAGGTAATCATGTGACAGGCAACTCGGTCCAATTTCAACCTTGTCTCCATGAATTCAATAGTTTGCTAGTCGCTCGGTCCCCACACGGCCGTAATCACAGAAATAGGAAGAGGAAGCCATCACAGGACATTTTTGAATGATTTTCGTCTGCGTTTGGCCATTGAGTTTGTCGACACTAACGCGTGCAAACTTTCCTGGGCTCGCAGGGAGAGGAGATGAATTACGAATTCGAGCGAGAGAGCGGATTTATCAATAGTCAGCCGTCGCTTGCTGAGTGCCTGACATCTTTCCCCCCTGTCGCTGATTCATTTCAAAGTTCATCAATCAAGAGCTCGACACTGATTCCTCCTCCCTTCGAGCAGACCATCCCCAGCCTCAATCCGGGCAGCCATCCGCGCCACGGCCGCCCGAGACACAGCCCCGACGGATGCAGCCCGCTGCCCACCGCCTCTCTGCCCCCGGAGTACCCGTGGATGCGGGAGAAGAAAGCCTCCAAGCGGAACCACCTGCCCACGTCCACCGCTACCACTTTATCCACTAATGGGCCCGTGTGCTTCTCCCCAAAAGGTGGGTCATTTTTATTACTGTTGTCGGGATTTTTTTTGTTTTGTTTTTTTTGCAGCTTGCTTAAAATGCGATATGAGCATTTAAGCGATTCGGAGGGAAGCGCAACAAAAGTTTGGTGAAAGTTTGCTGATATAGTCTGATTTATTCCCCCAGTCACACTTTTGATGTGTGACAGTAATGAAGAGTGATGGAGTTCCGTTGCCGTGGAGGGCAGTTGCAGAATTCATTAGTCTCTCGCTCCCTGTGTGGAGCTTTTTTTGTGTGTGTGTGTGTGTGTGTGTTTGCCTCCCCACTTGGACGAGATAAAAACGGACGAGTCACGTTTTTTTTTTTTTTTTTTTAGCAAATATCTTCGGGTGTATTGGTTTTGTTCAAGCCATTCTCATGCACGCAAGCCCGCCTCATGTAACGGTTCCGTCCCGGTGTTCCAGGCTCGCCTGAGGTCGCGGAAGGCGGAGGGATAAGCGGCGGGTCCCGCCGGCTCAGGACGGCCTACACCAACACTCAGCTGCTGGAGCTGGAGAAGGAATTCCACTTCAACAAGTATCTGTGCCGACCCAGGAGGGTGGAAATCGCGGCCCTGCTCGACCTGACCGAGCGGCAGGTCAAAGTGTGGTTCCAAAACCGACGCATGAAGCACAAGCGTCAGACGCAGAGCAAGGAGAACCACAACGGCGAGGCGGGCAAGGGTCCCGGAGGCGGCGGGGAGGACGGAATGCACAGCGACGATGACGACGAGGGGCCCCCGTACGAGCAAAGCGGGGCCCTGCTGGAGAGAGACACTTTCTCCTTTCACAACAACAATTTGGAAACCACGCAGCAAGTCCACAATAGCAGCTCCGTGAGCTTTGCTGCTGCGCCGCTGAACAGCAATGAGAAAAATCTGAAACATTTTCCCAACCCGTCACCCACTGTTCCGGGCTGCGTGTCAACAATGGGCCCCGGCTCGGCATCCGTGCCGGACAATGGCGACAGTCCCCCAACCCTCGAGGTTTCTATACACGATTTTCAAGCTTTCTCGTCGGATTCCTGCCTGCAGCTCTCCGACGCTGCCTCGCCGAGCTTGTCGGAATCCCTGGACAGTCCCGTGGACATTTCTGCAGATACTTTCTATTTTTTCTCGGAATCTCTGACTACAATCGACCTGCAGAATCTCAACTATTAACGCAAATCAATCACGACTGGTTCTTGTTCTTTTCGGGCTTAACTCACGTCGGTGTATATTCAGCACACATTTTGTGGCACGGTAAGAGGATAAGAGGACAGTAACTATCATTACGATTTTTTTGGGGGGGTGGGGGTGGGTGAAAATTATTATGGGTGTGTGTGGAAATTCTACAATATCCGGGCTGGATGGAGCGTGGTCATTTTTATTTTTGTATAGCTTCCAATGTCTTGACTATTTTTGTTAGAATACAATTAACTTGCTACAATCTTTCGTTTCGTGTTTTGAGTCTTATTCTACTTGCGCTGCGATGATTGACGTTGTATTAATTTATAGTCGAAAACGAGCGGGATAATAAAATAGTGGAGGGTATGCAAATTGGAACAACAGGTTGGCAATGAATATAAATAAGATATCTGGGGCTGATGTGTGACGCACACGCGAGTTAAAATTTGGAGAAATACAATTCCATTTACAAATAGATGTGTGTGTGTGTGTGTGTGTGTGTGTGTGTGTGTGTGTGTGTATATATATATATATATATATAAAACATTCAAAAACGTTAAAAATGAAGCAATACGTTTATTATAAATTTAATGAAGCAATACGTTTGGATTTTGCACGGCCAAGCTCTTGACACGGTGCATGATGCACGCAAAAAGCCGAGCCATGTTTGCTTCCAGGACCTCATAAATCACCGTGGCGTGAATGGGACGAACATTAAGGAGTCCAATTGTGTCACAAATACAAGACCACTTACATTTTCGTACGGGTTTCCTTAGCTTAAAGGGGGCCGAGTCCCTCCACGCGTTGGGTAATGATTCATTTTTATGGCCTGTTTAAACAGGCTGGCTCTCCTGCAGCGGCTTGCTTGAGTTGCATGTCTGTGCAGGCTGCGCACTTCCCGTGTGGAGCTCAAATTCAAAACAGACCACGAGTATAATATTTTCTTTTTTTTTTTTTTGCCCAAACATGTATGTGTCATTGGCATTATTTTCTTATTGTCACAATGATTTTCCAGGATCATTTGCTGGAGCCGTCATAGTGAAATATTGAGATTCGATATGATGATTATGAATAGCTTTGCTCTCTGGCTTTGCACTTGAGTTGACTTATGGGAATCGTTTAATAGCCCACTTTGGTTCAATATCGGGATGTAACTTTGTGTGTCAAATCAACAACCACCAGTTGCACCGATCGATTGAATAATACACGAACCAAAAGCAGCTCATCTGTACCCCCCCCCCCCAAAAAAAAAAAAAAAAATCAACCGAGTGAGTGTATATACGTATGTGGTCTCTTTGTGTTTTTAAAACAGATGTAGAGTGAGGAGAAAAAAACTGAGTGGTGGGGGAACCCTGCAGTATTGGTGTCCATAACCAAATCATTCCGAGACAACGCGTCTTTTCTGTGCACACATGTGCTCACACAAAGAGCACAGAGAACTGCGTGGCCTGCTGTTGGCTGGCTCCACTGACATGCAGCATTCTGCGCGCCCACGCATGCTCTCTGCTGCAGATGGGATGTCAGAAGGGAGGTGGGAGGGGGAAGGGAATGAAAGAGTATTGACTGCTACTTAGGTTTGCTTACAAGTTTGCATCATGCATTTTATGTCCTCTTGAAAAAAAACACACGCGTATACAATATGATATATGTACTGTATACATATGTGTGTAGACATCTATATTTACATCCATATGTAGACAGCACATACTGTATGTATACCAGGCGTGTTTTTATCAGGGTTTTATGCTACGGATTCCAATATCGATCCTCCATGAATGATATCGGCCGATACTGATTTTGATATGGATCACGTGCACAATTTTCTATTTTAGAGATGCTCAGTAACAATAATGATAAGAATCAATTAACGTGACAGTTATTTGAACCTATCCAAATGTCCTTCATCTTATTTTATAAAAAAAAATAGCACATCATTTCAAATTGGCCGTGCAGAAAATGCACAAACATTCAGCTACTGGTTTGATGTAACGTGCACTGTTGAGGAACGGGGGAGGGGATGCTACACAGCACACATCAGGTTCGTCTGTAGTTGGCTGCAGGCTGCAAAGTATGAGCTGTGGGTGATCGGTTTTTGTGATCGGCAATGAAAGGCATTGCTCAGTATATGCCAATCCTGTACTTTTCCATAGAAATCGCCTGATCACTATGTATGTGTGTGTATGTCCTTGTATACAGATGTATATAGGTATACACATGTATACGCATATGTACGTATACGCATATATATCCAAGATTTTTTTTCTCTCTCGGGATTGAAGGGGGCTTGACTGATGCATAGGGGGGCCTGAGACAATAATTTATAAATATAGTTTAGAACAGGGGTGTCGAAGCCCGGTCCTCAAGAGCACCTCTTCAACCTGTTTTGGGGGTCTGCCTCCTCCAAAACACCTGATTCAAATGAGCGGCTGATCAGCAAGTTCTGCAGAAGCTTGATAACGATCCAGATCAATTGAATCAGGTGTGCTGGAGGCGGGAGACGTCTAAAACAGGCTGGGTAAGTGCACCTGTACTGGATGTTTTGGCAACTTGTATACTAATCAGATCAACACAGTTGAGATAGATAATTTATTAATTGAAACCAACTTCCATTTTATTACATGTCTTCATATATGTGGCGATTTGTGTTCGATGTTGCAATTCACGTTTAAAACGATTCCCTTTAAATTTTAGGTGCAGTGTCATATTCCGACCACTAAGGGCGCTCATCCTCCCCAATGACGCATCATGCACCCTCCCCCTTCGTTTCCTTCTCTTCTTTTTTTATTTTTTCCCCCCTCCTTCCTCCTCAGTCAAGAGGTTGCCCTGCGGTCTGCTCCCACTCCCACTCAACTCCCACTCTCTCTTCCCACCGCAGAATCTTCACGACCATTAATTTATTTCCCCAGCAGCTTTATTTGATGAACTTTCTAACAGGGTAATCAACCCAGGGGCTATGCGCGTGCACCACCGCTGGCCAGGCATTATCACATCATTTGATCACGGCATAATGAATACATACGCCGTGTAAGTTAAGTCAGAGTTGACCCTGAGAGCCAACTGAATTAATAGCACATTCTATTAGTACATCTTGCAGTTTCTTTCACCTCCCAGCAACTCTGATAGGCAGATAAATGTGACCCTAATGAGGAAACAAAGTCATAGTAACATGGCTATTATCTTGCGCTGGCTTCTTTTGGGTGTCAATGGAGTGAAACATTTGCCCTCTCTGCCCCGCTGTGACAATATTTGCTGAGTAAATCCCTCGCAGTGTTAAAGCGTGAAACATTTGGCATCGGAATGGGACACTGATAGCCTCTGGCAGTGACACACATTGAGACATTCATCCATCCTGAGAAAAAAATAGTCCCCCCCTCCCCATTAGAATGACACAATTTAATGACAACACGCACGATTGGCTCCCCTAAAAAAAGACGCTTGTACCTGAGGTCAGAGTTCACGCATCCGCCTTGGGTTCCACAGAGCATCCCCGACCGTCCCGTGCGTGCGACCCGAACCGCCGTCCGCCAACGTCTGCCGCCCAGCTTTATTGTTTGCTCGGCCACTGCGCGAGTGCCTGGCGCGTCACCTTGATCGACGAGCGGCTGGAATTTAAATAGCCACTCAAACGGCAATCTGTCAGCGGCTGAGAGGATCAGCTCAAGTGTCTCACTGGCTGACCCGGACCCACGTGACCACTCCCGTTCATTGATGTCGGTCAGCGCCCTCCTTTAACCCCCAAACCTCCCTCCTCACCCTTCTCCTGTTATCAGAGTATAGGTAAATGTTGGCACGGTCACTCGGGGTAAGAGAGGAGAGATCAGAGGTGCTCCGGGCGCTCCCTGGCTCCAATATGCCACAATGAGCACTTTCTTAGATTATTCGGTCATGAGCGGTGAGGGTGGGTCGTGTTCCGTGAGAGCGTTCCACCCGGATCACGGGATTACAACTTTCCAGTCGTGCTCCGTGACAGTGAACAATTGCGGCGCGGATGAACACTTCATGGCTAGCAGGGCTTCCCCGGACGACACCTCCCACCACCACCACCACCACCACCAGCACCAGCACCAGCAGCCGGGCTCGTACCAGCCCCCCGCGGGGAATCTGGGGCTCGCTTACCCGCCCTGCGGCTCCGGCTACGGCGCGCAAAGTTTCTGCGCGTCCTACAACCATTACGCGCTCAACCAGGAAGTAGATTCCACCGCGGCGTTCCCACAGTGCGGCCCGCTCGTGTACTCGAGTAACCTTTCTACGTCAGTGGTGGCGCAGCATCGCCAGGGTTACAGTGCAGCCCCTTTGGGTCAATTGCAGTATGCCCACCCGGCATACGGAGGGGGGCACGAGCAAGCCACCCCGTTCCCAGGGTGCTCAAACCCTCTGTCCCCTCTACATGCGGCTCACCTGGAGGGATGCTGCTCCCCTCTGTCGGAGGGAGCCTCCAATGCTCAGACCTTCGATTGGATGAAAGTCAAGAGGAATCCCCCCAAAATAGGTGGGTCTCGTGTCCCGGCACACACTTAAGCGGCTGCATTTGCTTACCTATCGACGTGCACAACTGAGGTTCTTTAGAAACGTGATATTCAAAATAGCAACATGGAGTGCTGGATAACGGTCGTTTCGGAATGGGTGCTCAATACCAAAAGCGGTTCTCTTATATGTGCAAGCCAAAGAGAACAGCAGAACCTTTATTTAGTTCTTTTTTTTTACTGTATATCTTATGAATCTATAAATGTCAATTAAAAAACCTGCTGGATTTTTTTTGCAGTTTCGTGACATTGTGCAAGTGTAGCAATGATGTCCTCACGTGGCATGTGTCAGACTGAGTTGAGCAGCGTAACATGATTCTTAAAGCCTCATAAGTGTTGTCATCATATGAAGAGTACACTGCGAAATGAAATTCTTGCTGTGATTGCCAATATAGAGTAACTCAGCTTAAACCCATTTACCTAAAGTTTATCGCTGGCAATTCTAACGTTGTTGACATTCATGCAAAAGAAACATTTCATTGCACAGGAGAGAATCATGTCATTTAAAAAGGAATCTTGAAAAAAAAAATCATGTCACAAAACTTGGCGTTGCTTTCAGTCTCAAGTATGAGGAAAAACCATTAGCTACACCCTTGTACAAAATCTAATGAAACTGCAAAACTGAGCTCACGTTTATTATCGGATTATTTGCGCTGCATCATTCTGTGGTGTTTCCAATATTTTGGTGGTGGCATGTGAACCCTAAATAGAGAGATATTGATTCACAAGAGAATTTTACAGTATGATGCAGTGTCAGTGTGAACTCATATTCAACACTATTATTCATGTCTTGTTTTTGTTTTGTTTTTTTTCTTTTAAGGGAGGTCAGGTGAGTACGGCTACGGAAGTCAGCCCAACACGGTGCGGACCAACTTCACCACCAAGCAGCTGACTGAGCTGGAGAAGGAGTTCCACTTTAACAAGTACCTGACCCGAGCACGGCGAGTGGAGATCGCAGCCACGCTGCAGCTGAATGAGACTCAAGTAAAAATCTGGTTCCAGAACCGTAGGATGAAGCAGAAGAAGCGGGAGAAAGAAGGGCTCCTCCCGGTCAAGGCCGTGCCCTCTGACCCCGGCGAGCGCCTTCAAAAGAAAATGGACGACGCGGCATCGGATAAATCGGTTTCGGCTCCTTCGACCCCCTCCCCTCCTTCCTCCACAGTGTCCTCCACTGGGGCGGACCCTTACTGCTCCAATTAAGAGCCACTCACCTCCTTCCCAAAGCAGCCAAACTCCTGCGTTACCAAATGGACATGTTGGAGGAACTCGTGCACTTTTTGGACATGCAGGCAAAGCGAACCGTGGGATGTCGATGTCTTTTCTATTGTGCGTCCACGTAATTATCCAGAAATTGTGCAGTATTTACTTCTTTGGACCTTACCGCAAATGTGCCAAAGTCACAACAATCATCGTAATCCACATCTCTGCGCCTATTATGTGAATGTCTTGTGTAAGAGCCGCATGGTGCGTTCACGTGTTATCGGGATGCTGAGTTTTATCAGTTTTGCCTGTCACGTGTTGCTGGCTTCTATTTGTATCTTAACCAAGCACATACCTCAAACGTTTACGGGTCAATCATACGGATTATTAAAGTGAGATTACCTCTTAAATTTCACGTGGTGTTATTTGTTGCTGAACGTATTACGTCATTTTTTAAAAAAAGGTTTACGCCGGGATGCACGCAAGTGAATGCACGCAGCCGTACGCGGTCTCGCGAGAGGTAATAACATGATTTTGCTGTCATTTGCGACGACAACCTGATTGGAGCAATGGTGGCTGATGGAAAAATAAAGAGTATCGATCCAAACATGGAGGTTAGGATATCGACAAGGATGCAGCCCCACCGGCCCTGTCAGCGTTTGCTCCTCAGCGCCCAAACTTGCGTGGTGGTGTCATCATCCGCGCCAATAGGGACGACAGGAAGGGTGAAAAGTTACAGAAGTGCTCACGTCATTTTGTTTAACTCCGATTTCATGTATGAAAAGTAATATGTCGTCTTCTGGTATAATATTTAGTGTCTTTCTTTCTTACTTTTCTCACATGGCATTTATCAGTGCCCTGTTTTTCCCCTAATTGTTTTAATTCCTGGCGTGCAGCATGCGAGTCCTTCCGCCCTTAAAAGGGCAAAAAAAAAAAAAAACGCCCAAAGGAAGCGTGATTAATGAGCGCCGTTCACCTGAACCTGGATCTTTGCACCTGCAGGATCTGCTTTCTTGGAGCTGTGGAGACCTGCTGGGACTGCAGCAAAAAATACGCAAGGCTGTAAGTTCTGCTGCGTTTCATTGTTATCATTTAAAAGCGGTTTTAAAACATTGCATTACGAGTTTTATTGAACGTCGGTGTCGTCTTCGCGTGGTAATTGTTTTCACATGCACGTGTGTGTGTGTGATTGTTTGTGAAAACGAAATGCTGCGAAAAAACAATGTATTCTCTTGAAACCACCACCGCCGTGTTGCCGTGAACGTTATTATATAGCCTTATTTGATTCGAATCACGATTTGAACAAATCATGACAAGTTGATGCAGCTTAAAGAATGTTTTTTTTTTTTTTAATTTAACGGAACGACTGCAACAAAACCGAGCCACGAGTTTCCAGGGATGATAATATGACAAAGTTGTTCGTTTTATATTTACATTCATATTTATCTGGAAATACTTTTTAAAATAAGAAATTTGAAAACGTAACGTCTTACGTTCTATCTGTATTTTTTTAAGCGTATGTTTCTACTTACAGGATTAATCTAAAGTGTTTCGTCGATTAGTTTGTTTGTTTTAGCACCGAAAGAATTAGTGACCTCATTTATGTAATTCCGCCACGCTTTTTGCAAGTCAAAACACAGTTCGAAATATGTACTTCATTTCTTTATTTAAATATATGAAAAACCGAGTGACTCAACTTTATCGCAGCTGCGTCGTTTATATGTACACTTTAGCTCTATCGCGTAACATCCTTCTTTGAAGGATGTCAAACAATGAAATTGATCAGATTGAGAGGTTTATTTAAAAAAAATCACTGTATATATACATCAACAAAGTTTTACAAATAAACAAAGGCCACGAGGTATTTGAAATAGCATTAAAGACACGTTGAAAAAAAAATTTACGATACCCTTAGTGCTTAAAAATCTGAACCATTCCCTCAGAAAGTACTTGGATGAAATTTTAGGCCTCTTTGAGCTCTCTCCGAGGCCCCGTGGAGCCTTAGTGAGTGAATTGGAAAACCAGCTGACCCCCACCCAAAAAAAAAAAGAAAGCCTCGGGTCATCCCACGGTCACACCCCGAGTTTGTTGTCACAGCACACACACACACACACACACACACACACACACACACACACACACACACACACACACACACACACACACACTAAAGCCCAAACAACAGACCACGCTGTTCAAACAAGCACCTGAACAACAAGTCACAGTCCACCTCCGAGGACCTGTTTGACCAAAACGCCCCAGCAGACATGGATGCGAGTTGTCTGACAGGAACATTCTTTTGGTTGCACTTCCACAAACATGACTGATGCGGCCGATGGTTCCCATTAGGGTCCACGAATAAACACGTGGACGATGACAGATGAATCATTAAAGCCTTAGCGGAGGACTGATTAAAGGTTGACTTGCCGTGTTTTTGATGGAAATGTCTTTAAGAGGCAGCATTGATGTGGTTTGAAACCCAAGCAGACATTTGGGAGCATATGAAATCGGAAAATGCATTTTTTAAAACCATTTACCACGCACATTAGATTTCTGTGCGCAGTGAACATTCTGATTTATTCTGGGATTAAATTCAGTTGAATTTAAAAAATGTTGAATTATTTATTTCACTCAATTTAAAAATAAAAAGACTTGTTCGATGAGCCTCACAGCCATGACATTAGTTTTATTTTATTTTTTTTGTGGTAGATCACGCAAAATGATTCTCCTCAAAAACATCTATTTACAAAGGTCCTCAAAGTTCTTAGAAAACCGATCCATTTGTGTCTTTTAAAGTATGAACAAACCTTTTGGGGTATTATTATTATTATTATTATTATTATTATTTATGATTTTTTTTTTTGCCATTTTGTCGCTGGCCACTTGATTAGGTACACCTGCACAATGTCACCTGAAAAAAAGCCTTGACAAAGACAAAGGCCACTGCAGTGAACACAATAATGCAAACATTGTTAAATTAATACCTCCCCGATATTGTCAAACATCGTCTTTGCCAGCACAATACTGTTAAACTCCGAATATATTTTGTTATTCATGTCTCTTGTGTCTTTTAAAGTATGAACAAACCTTTTGGGGTCTTATTATTATTATTATTAATGATTTTTTTTCATTGAATCTTTATTTGCCATTTTGTCGCTGGCCACTTGATTGAAAAAAAATCCTTGACAAAGACAAAGGCCACTGCAGTGAACACAATAATGCAACCGTTAAATTGATACCTCTCCGATATTGTCAAACATTATCTTTGTCAGCACAATACTGTTAAACTCAGAATATATTTTGTTATTCATTTCTTATTCACGTGGAATATTACAAACTGAAATTGTATATTTTATTCTTTATTCTGTCTATCTAGTACCTATCTAGTATCTAAAAATGTATATATTTTTGCTCCTTGCAGTGTCAAGGGCAAGCGACTCGATACGCCACCAGCTAGGTAAGTAAAAAGCGCATATACATATTTGTCTGTGTCGCATCTCAATCATTCAGGTTGTGGTAACCCGCAATGGTTGAATCGATTCAACTGGTCTCTTCTTGTTTATTCAACAAAATCGTAAAGTTGTTAGACAAGCTATACAAATGGTTGTAGTTAAATATTAAAAAAGGTTTTGCCAACCACCTGATGACATAAAATTGAGTAAATTCAATACACCATTTTTTTCCAGCGGTATATTTAAAATTGCATGATGAAGATTCTGCTGTATGCGCAGCTGTCTCTTGTAATGTTCACATTGATCAACAATTTATATTCAGACTCAAATTGTGCTCAATTGGTCTCTCAAAGCCAGTAAGTCATGTTTACATGTAGCGTCCTGCTATATCCACTTGTTACATAAATGTTGTGAACGGCCTACGAGCACATTTGAAATGTATCTGGGGTTGGTCAGATGCACAATAAATGGAGGCAAGTGTACATAATGATTACTATGAGTTTCAATGTGATTGGTTCATCCTGAACACAGACCCACCCTAGTGAAAACAGGGTGTGCAGACTTGTGCAGCCACTTTATTGCAGTTATTTTTTTACTTCCCTTCTTGAAAAAAGATATCATTTTTTTAATTGAGTTGTACCGATTATTTGCCACATTAAATCAGATTTTTAAAAATGATTCATCTTGGTTAAATTTTATTATTTCACCGTCGCCTGTCATTTGAACAGGGGTGTGTAGATTTTTAATATCCATTGATTTGTGTAATTTTACGCGGTCATACCATTCATGAGGGGAAACAATGAGCATGACGTGGCAGAATAAAGATAGAATAAAAATTTGTTTGACATCTTTGCTCCACATGCTTAATTTGGAACGACACAAATCCAATCACCGTCTGATGATGCAAATGGAACGTAAAATAAAATATTTTATTGCACATTCCATTTGCATTATCAGACATTACTAGTCAAGGTCTCTGCAGTCATTCATGCTACATGTTCAACTTCACACATCCAACCTCAGCGTTACCGTCCACCTGCAGTCACCCACATGACCATTCCTTATACACACCAACTAGGAATTCATAACAACATAACCTTTCTACTGCGAGTCCCTCAGTCAAGTCGCAGCAGACAAAAAAAAAAATAGACCAGACAGAAGTCAGTCATCAGGCCCGTCGACGTATTGGCACATGTACGCTCATTGACCACTCCCCTATTGTGATTGGCAGCCAAAATGAATTCCTCCATCGACAGACGCGCGTCTCCGTGCGCCGATAAAGGCGGCCAGCCTATAGAGCCATTGACAGGATGATGGAGGGAGAGACGAGGAGAAGGTGATGACGGAGATGACATCATGTGACCAATGGCTTGTCTTGACCTGCTGCATCTGCCAGACGCCTCATAAAGTACATCTCCGCCATCGAATGACACACACCCATATATACATATGATTGCTAATGTTTTGACCTTCAAATGCACGTAGGTTGTTAGGAAACGGTGGCAAGGTATGCGAGAGGCAAACGAGCAGAGGGTTAGGTGTGAGAGAGGATGACTGTCTCGTCCACTACTCACCTTGTAGATCATCCCGCGCTTCTGCCCAAACTGGCTTCTCCTCCATGAGGCAGTCCCGCTTGGCCCGACATGACCACACAAAGACATGTGAAGAGGGGAGGCCGCTTTATTATCAGGTCGGAGGCCTAGAGAGGCAAGAGGATGGGTAGAAGGGCTGTGGCCTCCAGCTCTATCCATCACACACGTCCTGACCTTGGCTTGACCCGAGCGTGGCAGCCAATGAGGCGCCATCTTCTCCCTCCAAACCCTCGCACGCACTTATCTAGCCCCACGTTCGCATCGAAGGGATCGGGTGACACCGAGTGGAGGCTGGATGCTCTTTGTGTCGCCCCGTCGCTCCTTCGTGTCTTTGTTTTTTTACGTGACTAATGTGAGTAACAACACCTGACAAACAGGCTGTTGATCCTGTCTCCTCTCTCAGGCTTGTGCCCCCTCCCACCACCCCCAACACCCTGCGAGGAAAAGCTTTGTTGGTCACAATAGGAAAACAGTAGCGCGGTCCTCCATCCATCTCCATAGATTCCTATTGTGAGGAGATGACGTGTCATTTCGCCGGCAAAATGCTACATGCTAATGCTGAGAAATGAAGCACATGCTTTCTCAGGGCTACTATAGGGGCCCTTTACCAGATACAAAAAGTGGCTGCGTTCTCCTTATCTTCATATTTATACCATATAGTATTAATTTTTAACATTTCACCTGTAATCAAACCCAACAACACCACCAAAAAAAAAAAAAAAAAAAGTCACTTCCAATGCGACTGATGTTTTGAACACACCCATCACCACCCCCAGCAACTCTGCCGTGTCATTCAAGCATGGCCTTGCAGTTTAACCACTGCAAACAAACCGATGGGCGGTGTTGTCGTTGCTGTGACAACCTCACAAACAATCTCGGAGTAAAGTCTCCGTTTTGTTAGGCAGAGATTGTGCCTTGCTTCATCTGAAAAGGCTTTGGAGTCAAAGGGTCACGGTTCAAGTTGTGGCAGAAATGCGATTCTGCAACCTGGCTGCTGTTGACGTGCCCTTGAGCAAGAGGGGGCAGTACGATCTGACGTCTCTCCTTGCATGCCTGAATGTGTGTGATTTTTTAATTTTTTTTTTGCGAGAGAGAGCGCGAGCGTTAATGATTTATCTTATGCAACGCATCAAATAGGATCAAATCTTTCCCCTTGGCAGCGACCTACGACGTTCTGCTTCCTTCCGTACATTTGTGCCTTTGGTTACTCTGCAAGGCTGTTAAACACACACAGCTGAGCCACGGCCTCTACCTCCTGAACTGCAACGCCAGCAGCGCTCTTGTCAATAACACTCTGCAGCCTGAGCCAAGACTTTGATATGGAGGACCTGGGGCTTTGTTCTCCTGACGGCTGAAGTAGCACGTGTTGCCACATAGCCTGGAGCCCATAATTGCTAACATATCGCATGAGAGGAAAAAAAAAAAAAACTACATTGCCTTACTCCATACACAGATCCAAACGCACAAGGCCCAGGGCAGAAAAGAAGATGAAATGTCTACATGTTGGTGAGTGTTTGGATCTTGGCGTGTTTGTCCGGATGCTTTAGCTCACCTGTGAGCCACCTGTCTGCTCCGTGTACAAGAAGAGCAATGGCGCTCACGCGAGCACTAGAAACACAACCTGGGAGGGATTTGCCAGCCATTTGTGCACTCACCGACACAAAATGGCATCGCTCGACCTTTGACGGTCATTTACAAGAAGTGACAAAGGCGCTCACTTATCATCGGTCTGCTGGATTTAAACGTTCCACGAATATGATTTTGTTTCGTGAACTATTCATGTTGGTTAAATGTGATTTTGACGCTTTCGTTTTATACAGAACCAGCATACTATTTTTTTTATTATTATTATTATTATTTTTTTTTTAGTACAGTTACTCATTGAGTATTTTTTTGCCTGAATACTTCAGTGATTATTTGGTGGGCTGCCTTTTGGTTTGATTGAAGGCAAATTATTCCAAAGTAACAGTGTCCTGACGTCAGTATAATTTTCAGCTACTTGACCCACTTTTTTTTTTTTCTCTCCTCAACTCACTATCTTGCCAAATAATTAGGTACGCCTGCATCGTCATGATCGCTTTTGATGGACGCTCAAACGAGCCGTTTCCAATATTTTGTCTAACAATCAGAGATCCGATACGGCTCGCGACACAACAATGCTCAAGCCGGTGTGTATTCTAAAGCGAGCCGTGTTGAGATTGAAAGAGATGTTTCAGTGACAGGTGAGAGGCTCACTCGTAACTCTAAGCCTGTCGTTGGGACACGCCCTGAAGCGCATCCCACCGCGGGAGTGTGAGAAGCACTCTGAAACTATGCACTGATACACTGACTGCTTGTCCCCTTCAGGCAAGGACCAGTCTAGATTTGCATCTTACCGAAGCGATCTGCACAAATGCAGACAAATTGATGTGAAGTGGAGTCTTTCAAACCTTTAATCTGTGTCAACAACAGCTTCCTTATTCTGCAAGTAACAAAAAACATGTATTTACATATTAATGAGATCATTGAGCACTGATAAGTGTAAACGTGGCACACTTTTTTTTTTCTTTCCCCCATCTTCTGCAAATAGTGTTAAGCTCTTTGGGAACAGTGTATGCTTGCTCTCTGATAAAGGCCGAATGATAAGATGGATACAACCCGTTTTATCTCTGTGGTTTACATAAAATATTATTCCGGTAGCTGGTTGGCTCGGTTTAGCTCTTTAGCTGTTTGCTGATGGTGGTTTGGCAACTGCTTGGTAGTGAGACACAGTAACGTCACAGCACTGGCGTGGTCATTGCAGGTCGAGTGGAATTAAGCGCAGAATAAAATCGAATAAAACAGAGGAGAACTTTTACAGACCTGACACGATTTTGATAAGATAAGAAAACCTTTATTTGTCTCCCAATGGAGAAATTCCCAATTTGCAGTTTCAAAATTGTTTAAAGGGAGAAGTAGAAGAAGAAAAAGTATCTGAATGATATGATGATGGGAAATGCAGCATCCCGTTGATGGCGTTTCAACCGGGTGCTGACCTCTCCCATGCACTTACACGTGTTCACCTGCCTGCTGCCGGACCAGTCGCCTTCATCTTCAGCCCCTCCTCTTCCTCCCCAGTGGGCGTTATTGTTTCAGCTCCGTAGAGACTCCTCTGACAGCGCTTGTCTATAATGTCGCCATCACGCCTTGTGTGTGTGTGTGTGTGTGTGTGTGTGTGTGTGTGTGTGTGTGTGTGTGTGTGTGTGTGTGGTGAAGGGAGTGGGGGGGAGTGGGGGCGACGCGACTGTGCACATGTTTGCCCTGTAATGACAGCGGCTGTCTATAATGGCTCGTCCTGGCAGGGATCATTCGGTCCACCTTCTCTCCCCACATCCGCTGTCCAGTGTCACCAATGTCCTGGTGGACGATGATGTGATCTTTAGTCCCCTCCGTGATCTATAGACTGGCATTTGGCTCAGGGAGCGTCCCCAGGCTCTGACATGCATGCTAAACTTCTGCCGATATTACCCCCACTTTCCTATACCACCCCCTCGCACCCCCCATCGGCTCAGCCGCCTCCTCCAAGAGGAAGTTAACGCCAGACGCAGCAATATTGTGACATGCAGCATTAGATCCAAAAGTGGCAGCTAGCCACTGAAGTTCACATCTCTCTGGAGGAAAGGATGACCTCTACATGGAGCCTGATCTCATTCAGGATGATTTAAATGTGACGGGATGTTAATTTCTGAACTCAGCCACATCCCCACTTACAATTTACAAAATATTGCATTTCTTTATTTTTACTTCCGTTTTATTGAAAATATGTATTTTTTTCAATGGAGTTGTACAAGTTATGGGACACATTAATGTTGGAAAAGGTTTTGATATGATCCTGGTCTCCCTTTTTATATCATTAAAAAAAAATTGGAGCAGGAGTGCGTTGACTTTTTATATTCAGAAACATTTTTTTTTTTGTGGTTTCACTGTCAGAACAGCCCCCCAAGGAAGACATCACTCCAAAGCGGCCCGCGGCAAAAATGAGTTTGACACCCCCAGTGTGTTTTAGTGCGCATGTAGTTTGCACTGACGGAATACTGAGAGCAGATTCATCCTGATGTGACTCTCAAGTCCCTGTGTGGCTCGTTGTATTATCATATTAGCATTCTTCAGTGCTCCGTGTTTTTTATCGCTAATGAAGGCTTAAATGCTCTTTGGCGTATGTGTTCTCAGTGGTCCGCAGGGAGCGCCTGTGTCCCGTCCTGCATTGATGCCATCACGCTCTCATCTGCATGCTTGACAGCGCAGACCTTCTTTCATCCGCCCGCAATCTCCCTTCCTTTATCATCTTCGTCTCTCAATCCGCTTCCGCTCGCCTGCAGTCCCCCCCGGCCCCTTGTCACCTTCCATTGCTTCCCACACATGTTTGTTTGTTTTCTTTTTCCAGTCCCTTTTGCGCAGTCTTTCCTGCTCTCTGTCTTTGGGTCAATACGACATGTGTTGAGGATTCAGTGGTTGTACTGTCTAGATAAACACCCTGTTAGAAGGATTATCCCTGTTGTCCTAACAATGTAAACCCAGGATTAGGCCCCACTCTCCAGGGATGCAAGTGTGTGCATGCGTGCGTGCTTGAGTGTGTCTGTGTGTTGCTGCCTATAGAGTCTCTTCAAGAGAAAGACTGAAGTAGCATTATTTCAGCATGCATGGATGTACAGCGGAGAAGAAAATATACATTGGCATTCCAATTTAGCATCATGGCCATATGATAAAGTTCAAGGGCTAATCATATGATTCACTAAAGCCCATCTATTCAGCAGCTTTGTGGAGAATTGGACATGCAAAGGAATGAAAGTGTGGAAGAGAGTGAAGAAGGAGTTAGGTGAAGCTCTTGGAGATAGGCTGTGGTGGCGACTGAAAGGCCAAAGGTGAGCCCCTCTCGCGATGTCTCCTGTACCGCAGGGGCACTCACGACCGGGTCAGCGGAGGTTCAGGTGTCAGCGAACGACAGCTGACTGACGAGACCAAGTGGGACTTCTCCCCGAAAACGCTGTCCCGCTTGGACCTTTCATCCTTCCTTGCCTCCCTCTCGCTGTCGCTCCTCTGTGACCCGTCCCGCCCTCCCTTCAGACTTCTCTTTACTCTCGGTCGAACCACACAACTTCAACCTTGTCATCCGCTCATCCTTGCCTCCTTCCTCCCCCGACTCACCTTCTTCTTCACCCTGAAAACTAAACATTACCACAGGCTTTCACTCAGCGGGTCAGCCTGACTGGGGCAGCTCTCTGTGGGGTTGCACACACAGGCAAACACACGCACACACACACACACACATGCACACACATTTGTAAATGTTTCATCAAACCTTTTCATGGGACATCACTGAAGAAATTAGACTTTGCTACAAAGTAATCGTAATAGGGTTATATTCCCCCTAAAAAAAATACATGAACGGACAGCCATTATGTCTAAACTGATGGCAACAAAATTGAGTACACCTCGAAGTGAAAATGTACAAATTGGGCCCAATTACCATTTCTCTGGTGTCTTGGAGCCATTAAAAGGTCGTCTTGGATCTGAATGGAAAGCAGGTGTTTTTAGTGTCAGCGCTCTCACACACTCCCATGCTGGTTATAGGAAGCTTAGTATGGCACGTAATGGTAACTAAAATATTTCTGCGCTACATAGAAATGACCAATGCCATGGCTGCCTAACTGGCGGCTCTCGGAGCGGTCCTCGATGAATTTCGTCAAACAGACTGGTGCTGAGCTTTTGTAAGATGTAATACCAGCATTAACCACAGGACGGCAACCATCGCTCACCAGCGCCTCCAACGCCCGACAATGACACGGTGAAGAAGAGCGTGTCGTACACGGTGAAGAGAATCGCGTCATGGTCGCTACGACATGAATCTCAAAAAGTTCATTAACAGCACTTTCACCACAGTGTTGGACGTTCGTGCACGAGGGTTTAAAGTTTGTGTCCTCAAACACACGCAAACATTTAACGCTTAATAGGGTTTGGTGGTTTAATTGGACGCGCGCACGTCTTGACAGCCTCGACTTCGAGAGGCGATGCTTCCGGGGCCATTTTGACTGCCTTCAATTGACACTTAACACAGGTGAGTGAGCTAGCCAGAAATCACAGCACGTGGTTATTTTGTGTCGTCGAACATTGTATCCTTTCATTGTATATTTGAAATGACATTTTATCCAGATACTCTTCTGTACATTGGGTCAATTAAAAACAGACTTGTGTGTTGTACATTGGGTCAACTAAAAACAGACGTGTGTGTGTGTGTGTGTGTGTATAAATATCTATAAATATGTCTGTATATATATATCGAAATATGTATGTATGTATGTATATGAGACAAAGATAATTTGTACAAACATGGCCCTTCCCATGTGTCGGTCCATTAGAAATAAGAAAAAGACCATTTTGATTAAACTCTATGAGCACCTATGGAGCAACAACATACATGGATTGTTACTGACTAGAGGGCAATTGTTGAGTCACTGTTATTGAATCTGTTAACATCCACAGATATATGGCGGCCATTTTGTGCTACATGAGACACTGCGCGCTTTATTTATTGCAGCTTTAGCGCCGATAGGACACTTTCAAGTCTACCCGTGCAGCCAGTATATCAACGTGATGTAGCTATTTATGTCATTAGATAGCGTTAGTCCTACATATTGCTACTTTAGAGAATGCTTCAGCTGTCCACTTCATCATCCACGACTGTTTTCTAATTATGAAACCCAGGAATTAAAACACGTGAGCCCTGTAAGGTTAACATCCTAATGTCATAGCAATGGGCCGTTTGCAAGTTATTGCCTCCTTTTGACCCAGTATGTGGCCACAGCTTGTAAATTTAACCACAGCTGATCACTGGTCATAAGGTCAGTAAGATGGGGAAGAAAAAAAAAAAGCTGTTTTTTTTTTTGTCACTGTAGCAATAACGCTGAGAAGTGCAGTATAGTACAAGAGGATGGAAAATTGATTGATGCACAGTGGTAAATTAATGAACGCACACGCAACTGTAGTTATATCAAATTATCACAATGTCAAATATTTTGATGTGTTGTCATATAATTCAGCAAGTAGGATTTCTATGCATCTTTTCAAAGGCGCTAAACACATACAATTAAAATAAGTGTGGTGAACTCAAAATTTCAAGGCATCAGCATTTAAATTTTTTTTATAGTAGATTGGCCTAATATGTGAACATATTTGTTACTAAAGTGTCATTTTCTTTCTTTGCCTCAGCTTTTTGCCACATTAAAGCAACCGCATCCGATACAGCTCATCACTCTCAAACTCCCTCGTCATGGCTGCGATGCTACCCGAGGACCTGAAGACAAGCATTCCAATGCGCCTGCAGGTATGCACGCTCACACACTGGCAGGTGCAGCCTTCTTTCGGCGCTGTAGCTTTTCATTAACTTGTCTCGCACAATCAAAGTCTGTCAGCGAGAGTGACATCGGGAGAAAGGACATGGGAGGAAATGGAGTTTTCGCAGATAGGCTGCGTTGTCATTGCTGCATCGAAAATGGAACTTCCTTCTCTTGTCTGATAACATTGTTTCTGACTTTTTGTTGTTGTTGTGTCTCGAGGCCTTTCACGGCCAGCACTTCAACAACACACAAATACAGGTGAGAAAATGTTACAGTGCTTTGGGTGATGCGCATTCTTTGCTGTCAACTCTTCATAGTTACTGTCCACACACCTGCATGTTAAAAGAAAATGCCAAACACTAACAAAGTAGAACAATTGATTTAGCTCCTGTATGTGAATACAAGTAAAGGATAAATTCTAAAATGTACTGAACTGGGGAGTTCGTAGCTGTAAAACCACGAGCAAGATTCTTGAATTGATTTTGAAAGTGCATCGTTGTGATAAATAGCCACAGCGGATGCATATCCAACTTTGCGTGAGCAACACTAAGCTATCATTAGCACTGTGAACAAACTGTTAGCCACGACTCTACATTGGCAGCGCGTGCGTGCGTGCGCGTGCGTGTGTGTGTGTGTGTGTGTGTGTGTGTGTGTGTGTGTGTGAGAGAGAGAGTGAGATCCAGCCTGTTATTCTTCATCTATTACTTCCATTTCAGTTTTTCTTTTTTTCCATCTTGAAAAATTTTTTTTTTTTTTTTTTTGATAGAAGTTCGCATACTGTGGAAATGCCATAACTGTCTAACGCATACGCACACGTTGAGCCACGTGTAAAGCGCCAGCGTCTTGACGGGGGTGATCTGCCGGTCAATTGGCTGTATTGATTATTGGGACAGCAGAGGTTGGTGGAGCGGCAGCAGTAATTAGGGCTTTTTGGTGTGGATTAGCCGAAAGAAAAGGTCACCTGCTCAACATTGGTGGCAGGACTGCTGGCAGTGACAGCGCGGGGAGGGAGCGGGAATGTGCGTGTTTGTGTGTGTGTGTGTGTGTGTGTGTGTGTGTGTGTATTTTATAAGGGGAAGTATAATCTGGTGTCATGATTGACATTACATCAGCCAGCAAGGCCTCCTTTGCTTTAAAAAAAAATTCTCAACTCATTCAAATGCTGTTATATTTTATTAGTTTCTATAATTGCGACATGATGATGATGGTGGATTCGGTGTACTCCCCACTGAAGGGCCAGGTACCAAAGACTCAGCCCCCCCACCACTGAATGACATCATACACAAAAACGGTTGACCGTCTATATAATGTTGTTTAGAAGGTTCAAGAATTTTTTTCTCTTCATGGGGGTCACGGTTCCGCTGCAGATCCACCCGTCGGATTTTGGGTGAGTCACTTTGGACTAGTTGCCCATTGCAGCCATGCTATTCAAAGGCACTTAATCCTCAAGGTGTGGTCTTTAATGATTTTTAAAATGTCATCTTAACCTTGTTGTCACACTGACACCATCTCATGGCTCTACAACTTTGCTCTCACGAGGCTTGCACTCTTACAGCTTGCAGGTCTGAGTGTATTTTGCGAGGTCACGACCCTCTTGGGCTGTAATCTCGACAAACAGGACAGAGGAGCTGCCGCACGACGTACGCTAGCTTTCGTTTGTTTTCTTGCACGCCTTTGTCAAAACGAAGAAACTGAATTTCTCAGTCAGAAAGAAAGCATCAAGGCCGGATTTTTTTTGGGGCGGGGGAGGAAAATGGGGGAACCTCGGCTTGATCACGTTTCTTTTCTTATGGGCTTTTGTGGTATACAAGCAAGTCCGAATTTAGAGTTGCTTTGGTTTAGGAGCACGTTGTGGCGCAGCATGATACAGACGAGGTCCACAACTAAACTCCAGGAATGTTCAGTGTTCCCACAGAGCAAAGAGAATACTTGTGTGTGTGTGTGTGTGTGTGTGTGTGGCGGGGGTCTGCTCCATTTGTGTTCAGAGCGTCCTTGTTACTGTAACACGGATGGTAATTTGTTAGCTCCTTTATGGTGTTTTGGATTATATTGTTGCATTAAACTGGTTATTGTATGTTTCATTAGAAAAAAATTGGTGTTTCAAACATGTTTAACCTTTCGGTTATGTGTCAATTATTCAGTAATCTAACTCAGGAATACCTAAAGGGTGTTTTAATAAGTCTGTGTTGTCATGAGTTGAAATATATTAAAGTGCATTAAAATATATAGTTTTTGCTGATTTTTGTGGGTCTGGAATGGTGCCCACCATCAACAAAGACGGCGTTTACCGAAATGGAAATATATACAAGTCAGCCAGTGTCCCCTTCATTGTCTTTGATATACTTTTATCAATTTTGAACATGTACTGGGTTAGCGTCGCTCTCGCCCTGTCCCACATAAAATGTGTTCACACCATGTGGAACCAATTGTTTCCCAATAAAAACCAACAATGCGGATGATTAAGAAGGTGTCTGCTCGTGTGCATTAATGGAGTGTCGGCTCCTCTGCAGCGGGTCAGAGTGAGGCGGCGGCGGCAGCAGCAGCAGCTGCGGAACATTCGGACGCTCGCCAAATGCTGAGCTGCAGCACTCCAAGTGGCAGACATGCAGAAGACGCCCTTGCGCGTCTGCAAAAATAAACCAGACATGAGGAGACAAGCGCTGATTGAAGGGGCTCATATGCAAGTGCTGCTTTGCTTTGCGTTGCTTTTTGTGTGGCCCCGTGACGCAAGTGTTTGTGTGCGAGGGAGGGCCCGCAAAGTTACGTGACCTTTCCACGTCCTTTTGGGTCACGTCATGTTCCCTCGTGTGTGTGGAAGAACGCCACTGGAGGGAACGCTCTCTTGCACTGTGTTTACATGTGTTTTGGATTTGTCCCTTCCGACATGCGAGGCAGCGCGCTTGCGTGACTTGAAATGCCAGCGAAAATGGCGTGCCAGCAGAGGTCTTGAGCAAGTGTTGTGTGACAATAGCGGAGGGAGGAGCTGGAAACAAATGAGGGCTAAATAAACTCAAGTGAAAGGTGTGTGTGTGTGTGTGTGTGTGTGTGTGTGTGTGTGTGTGTGTGTGTGTGTGTTTGTGAGGTGTGTGTGTGTGTGTGTGTGTGTGTGTGTGTGTGTGTGTGTGTGTGTGTGTGTGTTAGGTTAATGTAGTGAGGTCTAAAATTATACAGTCTACTAAAAATCATTTGCTTTCAGGGGGTCATATTTCTTGCAGGCTATCAGTAAAAGACACACATCTTCCCTCCAAAATAATCAGCGTAGCATATCGTGATCAATGAGAAAGTCGCACACGAAATTGTGTTCACCAGCTGTCAAGTGCGATTCAGCCAATCGGAACCAACCACGGCATTCCTAAAGCGAGCGGCCAAGATGTAACTTATGCTAGACATCCTTAAACGATGTTTAAAATCAGCACGCAAAAGGCGGCGATGTCGTCGGACGTGCTCTGCCGTTCAAAAAACGTGACGTCGTTTAAATCCTTTGTGGTGCATTCGCTGAATTACTCCTCGACTGGGAGAAATCGCATCATAGCGAGGTGTGGGAAATGCATTTTAACCTAATTTTAGGTTAAATTGGGATCCTTCCATGATAAAAGGTCTACAGACAAACTAAATTGTTATTTTTTTTAAAAACTGAACTGCTAAATGGCAGAGTTGGCAAAAAAAATCTATTTTAACCTAATTTTAGGTTAAATTGGGATCCTTCTGTGATAAAAGGTCTACAGACAAACTAAATTATTTTTTTTAAAAACTGAACTGCGAAATGGCAGAATTGGCAAAAGAAAAATCAGACTTCACAGTAGTACATCATATATACGATCTGTTGGGGGGGGGGGAGACGAATCAGCTGTTTCTGGGCCATATCTTGTGGCTCTTATTTGATGTACAAGAAGCCATCACAACTATGGAATGAAAATAAAACTTGAAACCTATAACATTTGGTGGTCATCGTGAGGCTGTGGAGGTGCGCCCGCAAGCGTGCGCCAAATAATTGACGCCTCATAATTCACGCCGTCTGTCTCTGCGTGGTTGTTTTTTCCACAGGCGTGGTGGGTTCTTGTAGACCAAATTGACGAGATGACAGACGGCGTTGTTTTTCACAGATTGTGTCATGTACTGCCCAGCCATATTGAATGTTTAAGCAAATATTAAAAAAAAAAAAAAGCTCATTCTGGAAAATTGCAAATTTCCCCTTAAAGAGAATCTCAATTAAATAATTCTTTAGTGAACTAAAACGATTCATCTGTGGCGGGAAAAAAAAAAAAAGCTCAAGCTACACTTGTTGACATCCCAACAATTTTGAAGCCAACTGTGGTACACAAGGGCACTTTGGAACTACGATAAAATCAAACCAATTTTTTTTTCTACAAACGAAAAAAAAAAGCGCATTCAACAAAATGCATTTTGCATAGCATAAGTTAGCGACAGCGCAGACGGAACAACCAAGCTCTAGCTGCGTTAGCTTGCGTTCTCGAGTTCACCAGAGGGTCAAAAGTGTCACCATATACATCACAGCTGTAGCAGAACGGCACACACCGTTGCCATAGTGATCAGCCATTTTTTTTTTGGACCCCCCCTGCCGTGCAAAGCCAAACACTAGTGTTCGCTCCGATACGACAAAGGACAAAACCGAATTGTGTGCTCTGACCTAATGCGCGCTCTGTGCGCGGAAAGTATTTATTTGGCCAGGTGCATCTGCTTGACTTGCAGAGGGGTCGCTGAAGGCGTGCGCAGCGACTATCTGTGCTCTCAGCTGCACGGATGCGTCAGGATACGTAACAATGAGGCGCTGCCCGGCATGATAACGCAGGCAAAATCATCAGTGTCACAAGCTCCGCTGAACATAATCAGACTGTGCTAGATGAGCCCTCGGATTCGGGACCACAAGTCGTCCGATTAAAGAATGCACACGGCGGGCGTTTCATCACCGCCGAAACAAAGCCGCCCTTGCCCTCCCACGTGTTCCCGCATCGCCGTGGAAAAAGCCTGTTTCCCTGGCAACCAAACTGGCTCTCTTTTGTCACGGGAATGAGGGGAGGAGGAGGAGGAGGAGGACAGACACTCCAGGCTGACCTCCACCTGACCTCTATGCAGACATATTGCTTTCTGCTTTACTGGAGGGTGTGTTATGATTATGATGGCTTGTTTCTCTACCTGAGCTGAAAAATTCCCTTCCCAACTATTATATTTTGATTTGATGTGGACAAGCCGTAATGGACGCGAACAATGTTTTGGTCACAAAGCATACAGACACAACAGAGCGGGTCCAATAGATGGACATCCATTATGTCCCTCTACTGCCCCTAGTGGTGACTTGTGCAGACAACGAAGGTGAAACAAGGCGACGGGTATGGTAAGCTGTTTGAGCATTTGTTCGACGAGGACCCTTTTCATCCTCACCCGTAAGACAATTCAGCACACAAGTAGAAAGACGACTGCTCGTCATGCTTTTTCCACGACTACTTTCCACTCGTAGAATGACAAGGGTGACCTCGGTGAACAACTTCATGATACTTTTGAGGCAAACCTGTGCACCAGTTGAGAATTGCATGCTACTGATGACCTTTTGCATTTCTACGAGTTCACAGCATTTCACTGGTAGTACTCGTCGTCCGCAGATGTTCAACTAGTGCTCAGTTTTGCCCCACTCGTAATGCGCAGTTTTTTTGTTTTTTTTCTACTTTGGTTCCACAGTTGAAACAGCTTTAAAATATAAGGTGTTGACAGCTATGGCAACGATTTTGGTTAGCGGTGCCATGTTTGCATGTCAGTACTTATTACAGTTGAGGTTGTAGCACATTTTACAACTTGTGAGACACTTAGGCAAGTTGAAGGAAAGAAAAAAGTTAGGTCCTTTGCATTATGTATGTTATTAAATTAAGACTGGGTGTTTTAGGTTTTAAATTAACAGTGGTTGACTTCAACAATATTACATGTACGGTATACTGAATCGTTTATTTTTTTTTTACGCTGATTAAAACTGATTTTGTCTTTCTATTTCCTTTGGGCAAATAGATTTCGAGCAGCTTGCACTAAATGACTGCATTCAACCTTCGCGGCTGCAGAATGGCATTCAGCAGCACATCGACCTTTTGTCAAAGCCGTCCAATTCTAATTTGGAAGCAAACCAAATGACACACCATTGATACCCACCATATGGCCATATTTTACCGTTCAAAATAGGCATTGCTCTCAGGGGCATAAGGCAAATGCCCTTTTTCAAACAAATGTTAAAAAAAAAAAAAAAAAATTGTACACCTTTTTCTGGGCCTGCACCAAAATATAATGCGATCTTCCTTGGGCTGTGCCCCACCCATCTATAAATGTTTAGCAGGATTATTACGAGGTTTATTTAAATAAGAACAAAAAATACATGACCTTGACGGAAAATAATCACTCTTTAAAGATTTTTTTTTCTTGCCATCCACTCCAATTTCCTCATTCTGGCACTTAAAACTTGTCCAGTGTCTCTCACTCACGCGTTGGATTCATTTGGTTCTCATCGGCGTTATCCATTCCATTTCTCACCTCCTTCACTCTCTTGTCATCTGGCCATCATCTTCATCGGGACTCTCGCCGATATCGGGTTGCCGCTGGCTCCGCTGTGTTGGAAAAGTGCCGTTAATGGGCTTTCAAATGCTTTATGGTGAACACTTCCTGTCAGAAAGGGGAGATAGGATCACCGTTGATTACGCAAGATGGCTACCGAATCAAACATTCGGATCGAGAGGAAGTCCTGCAAGATATTTGATGAGGGTGGCAGAAAGGAGAATTTAGTTTATATTTGAGAAAAGCTGACTGCTTTGGATCAGCCTTCGATCATGGCGGGAGCCTGGTATTGGTGGGACTGTCATTTTCTGATCCTCCCTCTCCGCTGGCACAGGAGGGACAGCACTGCCTCTGCTGGCTGAAAGAGGAACTGCACAAGGCTCCCCCCGGCAGATGAATGATGTCAAGCAGACATATTTATATTCATTTAGGATGGAGGAGGAGGCGAAGCCATCTGTAACGGATGTGATGGGAATAAGTGTGTGTGTGTGTGTGTGTGTGTGTGTGTGTGTGTGTGTGTGTGTGTGTGTGTGTGTGTGTGCGTGCGCGCGTGTGCGTGCGTGCATGTACCCTCACATGTGTGTTTGAGCATGTGTTCCAAGGTATCCGTCGTTTGTGATGAATTAATCACGCTTTTGTGTGAGTTGATGCCGTGTTTGTGCATTTGCAGTGCGTGCGTGCGTCCGTGTGTGTGTGTGCCTGAGCGAGCGAGGTCATTCTTCGGTCACTTGTTCAGGCTGTGTGATGAATGAAGAGGAGAGGTGTCTGAAAAGCGAGAGATTCGGGAGAAACATTGTTCTTCACGGTTTAGGAAAAGGAAAAAAAAAACGCGTTTTATGTTGTGCCGCAGCCTGAAGGAACCGCCCCAAAAAGTCAATGTCAAAACTAGCTGAGTTATAAACTAACAGAATATTCAAATTAGAAGTCTGGTGGTGGTTATGACGCCAACCTCCCCCTTTTTTTTTGTCCAAGATCTAAATTCTATTTCTTTGTTTACAGAAGTGGAAGTGGAAGCAGTTGTTTTCCTTGGCAGACCAAACCGCCGGGGTCAAAGACATGTGACTCAACCAGGAAGTATCAGGCCGCATAGACAGGAAGTGAGTGGACCAAACAGGAAGGGGCAGGCTACTGGGAGCCGGCTAAATTCACAGCCAGCGGTGTCAGCGAGAGGGTTGAAAAATACCCTATTCAGGTTACTCTTAGGTTTAGGATTCGCTGTTATGCAAGTGAAAATAAAATGGAGCAATTCAGGCCCTGTGGTGCCCTCATGGTGGGCATGGAGAGCCACGCTCGCCGATGCCGTTAATTGAACATGACACACAGTCAAACCCAAAATGAGAACGCTCGCAAGGTGCTGCTGTTGACCACAGCTCACACCCAGACGGTCACACGCTGACAAATCGGCCAACTAACCTCAGATCCTGATGTCACTGGTTAGGCCATAAATGGTTTTGGGGGACTCGTAAGAATCTGCCAAGTTTTCTGCACCCAGCTTTTACAGTAATGGAGGAAATTATATAATTTAATTTTAAAAACAAGCGTAGTTTAACATGTTTTAAGCACTGTTGATTCTATCTTAACAAAATAAAAGTTCATTCAATTTTTTTATCTAGTTATTCCTTTAGTTTTCATGAACAAGGGCAACTTTATTTTTTGTCATTGCAAACAATACAACAAAATTTGGGCCTTTATATTAAAAAAAAATACTGCTAATGCATTACAATGGGGGGGGAAGAGAAAATTAGAATGAAATGAAAAAATAAGATATGTAACACGCAGAACGGGAGAATGAATGCTTGATGGCAGTCTGAAGGACATGATTGCACGTGTGAGGAAATGTGTTTGGCACATTGCGGTCAGGCACAAGTGCATCGCGGGATCAATGTCCACACCTCGTCTTAAATTATTCATCCTGTCAGCTGGCCCGCTCGCCATCTTCCCTGGAAAGCGCTGACCAAGAGCTACATCCTCACAACCCCAAGCATCCCTACGGATTCCCCTCTTCATCCCTCCTCCTCCTCCTCCTCAGCCATCACTTCCTGCTCTCTCCCTCTCCCTCGTTATCTCCACCGTGATTCGCTCATTTACGGCCTCACTCCTCGCGTATCTCCCGTACGTGTCCCGGGCTTTTCATCCGTCTTCCGCTCCCATTATTCACCGTCTTCATTAGACCGCGAACTCCCACAGATTCGCTTTCTAATTCTTCCCCTTCATCTCGACTTGCCAAATCACTGCCCGCCGGGGTGCTGCTGACTAAGATTATAACACACCGGCTTTTGTTTGACGTTTGTGTTTGCGGCTGTGAGGCCTCGGAGGACAGCCATGGTGATCTCCCAGAGGCTGAGCGTGTGTCTATTCATCCTCATACTTATGTGTATGCATGCATGCATGCACATGATCAACTCCGAGAGAGGTGTGTGTGTGTGTGTGTGTGTGTGTGTGTGTGTGTGTGTGTGTGTGTGTGTGTGTGTGTGAGAGAGAGAGAGAGAGAGATTTGGTAATTGTGACATGCCTCATACATCATGGCTAGAGCCAGTTTGATTACAAGCACAGGGGCCCGGTGATTAATTGTTGGATTCAGCTTCCTCGCCCGAGTTGTGACACTCGGTCACAGAGCATCTGTACTGACACCCCCGTGCCCAACCTTACATACTGCGCACACGCACACACACCCCCTGCCTTCCTCCTCAAATCCACCCCACTCCTCTCCTGCCGTCTAACACGCACTCTACCTTTCCCTTTGTTTCCCCACGCTTACCTGCCATCGCAAATGAAGCCCCTCCACCCATTGTAAAAGTTACCTTCACCTTTGCAGCCCCCCGCCCCATCGCTCATCCTCTCCAATGCTTTCCTTTTCAGGCAACCCCCAGCTTCTTATAAAATAGCTCCTCACGGATTTGACCTTCTCACCTTTTAGCTTTTACTTCCCAGCAAGGCAACACAGCCCGTTCCGTTGCGCTTGTACAACTGCACGGCTAATTGTCCAGCCCGTCCATCCATTCTCTGCACTGCGCACTTGAGAGTCACAGTAGGAAGTGAAGCCCATCGCAGCCGACTCCACCCTGGACTGATCACCGGCAAATCACAGCGCAGTGTGAGAAGAGGGCATTGAGTGACTGTACCAGTCGACATTGTCCAATCCTTTGAGACAAACGAGGACCCAACAGTAAAGACATAAATTACAGTACCGTACTTTTTATTATAGCCATAACATGGTTGCAGCCACCAAAATCAATCAACTTTATGAACCCCATTAAAGAAGGATTCAGTGTGGGGTATCTATTTCGAGTGAAAACCCCAACTAAACTGGGGATGTGTTATCGAGCTACCCGCAATATGCGAGACAAAAAATATATATATCATTGGTACCCGTCTCACACAGAAAACATATTTACGCTTATTAAAACATTCTTTGTACAGTGTTCCTTGGCGCCCTTTCTCAGTCTCTCACTGGCACAATTCTCCAAAGAAGCAGTGCGGTGTGCTTGCTTTAAATGATTTGTCACTGCCACTTGACGTTTACTCCAGTATAAAACTGACGCGTACAATGGATGGACTGATCACCGGCAAATCACAGCGCAGTGTGAGAAGAGGGCATTGAGTGACTGTACCAGTCGACATTGTCCAATCCTTTGAGACAAACGAGGACCCAACAGTAAAGACATAAATTACAGTACCGTACTTTTTATTATAGCCATAACATGGTTGCAGCCACCAAAATCAATCAACTTTATGAACCCCATTAAAGAAGGATTCAGTGTGGGGTATCTATTTCGAGTGAAAACCCCAACTAAACTGGGGATGTGTTATCGAGCTACCCGCAATATGCGAGACAAAAAATATATATATCATTGGTACCCGTCTCACACAGAAAACATATTTACGCTTATTAAAACATTCTTTGTACAGTGTTCCTTGGCGCCCTTTCTCAGTCTCTCACTGGCACAATTCTCCAAAGAAGCAGTGCGGTGTGCTTGCTTTAAATTATTTGTCACTGCCACTTGACGTTTACTCCAGTATAAAACTGACGCGTACAATGGAAAAAAAAAAATTCAACATTGTATATCCAAACACCAAAATGTTCGACCAAGCCAAAGAGTCCACGAGCTTAATGCTAAAATCTAATGGAAATGAAGAGCTAGCATCGTTGAGCTTCCGTTCCAATCATCAAAAACTTCCAAACCACGGCTGCTGGAACAAACACGGAGCAGCTACACAGGCGGTTGTGGCTCAAGGTGGTACTACACCGAATGCAATTTGTTTTTGGCAACTATTTTGATACAGCTCTTGTCTTGGATCTCATTTCAACGTCCAGGTGTACCTCACTCAGTCCTCTCAATCCTCAGGGAACCCCAGATTGGTCAGACTGGACAGATGAGCTCCAGCTGACTCCCGGCCAGCTCAGCGGAGCAAGCGGAGAAGTGCAGGTGTCACATTGTCGTGGTTGTGACTAACCCAATTGCACCTGGATCGCAGGGGACACACCCTCAACGCCGTAAACAACGTGAGGACACACACACACACACACACACACACACACACACACACACACACACACACCTCTCTCAGAGTTGATCATGTGCATGCATGCATACACATAAGTATGAGGATGAGTATGAGTAAAAAAAGCACTGAAGGGCAGCAAAAAATAAACACATACGCACACAGAGTTGATAGCTTCTCACAGCCACTCTTCTTTTTCTTCTCCTTGCTACTCCGAGTTTGTGTGTGTGTTCTAATCACGTTTAATGCCCAGACTCATTGTTTCAGTCGGGAATCCTTGTGTGGAGTCGATGTGCCGGCAGGCAATCTCTCATCCTGATACCACATGGAGCTGAGAGCCATGGGAGCGTCCAGCCTCTCTGCTTGCTTTCCCCACCGATTTCGCTCCCTCCGTTTCTGACTGACTCTCGTCCCCCCGCCGTCTCTTTTATCGCGCTACAGTCGTCGTCTTATCTTACCTTAATGCCCGTCAAGTCTGTCCTCGTGTTGTGACTGGTGAAACCCACTGGATAATGTGCACTATAATTCCCCTACGGTTAGAGTATGATCAAATTTCCTCTCTGAGACTAACAATCAAAACGGATCATTATATTTGTCAGGCACATTTTGCATAAAAGCTTCAGACTGTGCAAGGCGGGCGGGCCTGCCTGATTCTATGGCCAGTATGCATCATTAGAATCGCAAGTCATTTGATTATTTCTCTTAAGTTATCGAAATATGTTACATCGGGGAAAACATTTTCTCGAACGATATTCTTTGTATTACAGTGAAACTCTTCTACAACGAAACTTACATGGGCGAAAATACCCTCTACTGTGAAAAAAATCATGCATTAAAACCATTTCCACTTTTCTGCTCCCCCTACAACGAAAAATCCCCCTGTTGCGTTATACAATATCTTTTTCTCTGCCCTTGCCTCTCAACGATATTCACGACAACGAAAACAAGCCTTCCGCAAAAGTCTAATCCAACCTCAGCCTACAGCGACTCCTACTGCTTAGCTCGGAAACGGCAACAGCAAACACCACAGTGGCTTACACATGCGCAGTAGTACAGAAAGTATTTGTTAGTTTCAGACGCAGCACAAACGTTGCATTGCTAAAATGGCTACAAAAACGGACCTTTACAGGACAAGTAGTGAAGAAAAGAAACGTTTTAATGCTTGAAGACAGGATAAAAGTAATAAAAATGAAAGATGGAGGAAGCAAAATAAAAGACATGCAAGAAATTGGTGAAAGTGAATGCTGATCGCAAATTTTGCAATTTCTTTCCCTTTTTTTTCTTGCTACGCTGGCTATATGAAGTGTCAAACAAGTGTATGCTCATACTTATGCACTATTGGAATAAAAATAGAGTGCACATACGTTTGTGTGTGTGTGTGTGTGTGTGTGTGTGTGTGTGTGTGTGTGTGTTTACAGCTGAGATAAATTTGCTATCATGAAAAAAAGTCCCTTGTTGTGAAAAATTTCTTGCTGCAAACATGATTTCGTTGTAAAGGAGTTTCACTGTAACGTTACATCACAATAGACCTCTTAGTGTGATGGCGTGCGTCTCATCGCCACAAACCCAAAGGTTAAAACTGGCACGGCCTTTGGCTTGAATCGCACTACGTTGTACACACCTGGTTGCACAAAGCAAAACCTATCTTGCACAAAATTGGTCCGAGGGACACGAAAAGGCATTTCACTGGATTTTATGAGGCGTCGCCCACTGGTATCATCTTACTCACGTCTCTCCTGTCACCTCACATTTCCACTGCTCATGTCTGAGAAGCGTCTCTTTGGGCCCGAATGGCGTCGGACCATGCGAACCAGCATGACGCCATCGGAAGCTAATAAATCATCTGTTGGCTTTTTTTTTTTCCCTCAGATTTATTTGGACTGTAATGAAGACTCGATGGGCTCCGGGCTGTACCTAGCGGCGACGGGGTGACACTGATGAATGGCTGAAGATGCGCTCACTGCAGTCGGGCAGGAGAGAGACAACTGTCAGCCTGCTGTGTTGTATGCATGTGTGCGCATCCCATAAGGTATATATACAAATGTAATTATTGTTATCGTATTAAGGTAAAAAAAAGACAATATTCACCCTTATGTTTGTAATCACTTCTGTTCAAGAAAATTGTGCATAATCCTGTTACTCTAGTAGGAGGTTAAGGGATAATCCGGTCATGACTAAACCACCGTTTGGTACTTTGGCAAACAGGTGTAGCTCCTTTTTAATGTTATGCGCAAGTACATTTGAGTGTTTGTGCTTTTATTTTTTATTTTTAAGTGTTACCGTACTTTACTAAAGGCATCTCACCGGTAGTTCTACTTTTACCAGTCTTGTATTCATGCAAGTACTTGTACGGTGTCAGGGTAGTTTTGGCCACTTCTGTTAACCAGTGCTTAGACAGCAGAGCCGTCCGTGCAATTCCACTCTTAACACTTTCGGACTGATTAAATGCAGCATCCATCTGCAGGTGATTACAGGGAAAGCGTTTTGATAGCGCGCTCATCACCGCCCTTCAGAAGACAAGGACATGCCGAAACGAGCCAACTCGATGCCTCAAGCCCCGAAGCTCGCGAGTCACCTTGTCAATACTGAATCCATACGTGGCTCGTCCCACACCGGACACAGTGTGGCGCAGCACTTTTTGAAGAGCCCGCTAACCCACCCACGCTGGCATTTTCAACGCTTTCCTGCAGCAAATCTAATCCGCAGACCAATTGAACCTCGAATGAATGAAAATGATACACAGCAATGTGATTATGGGTTGCCTGACATATTGGTACGCCCGCACAGCGTAAGATGCACACATCATGACATCAGACGTGCATTCGGATAGACTGTCGGTCACCGTTTAAATTCAACAATGAATTTTCTAATGGTCCATGTTTGCTTTGAGGTGGAACCGCACCGCATCAGAGTAAACGGTGAGACGCCTCGAACGGTTGTCGCCTCTACGGCGGGCAAACGCAGTGAGAGGACAGATAACCCGGTGGTCCTTTTCCATTACCCTTCCATCTTCATCACTCCCTCGCACACACTTTGTTACACTCTTTCACTGAACCTCTCGGGCCCCATTCCGACTGTCTTTCGTAGCTGTCTGTCACTTTTACCTACTACACAAATCTTTATCGCATTCTCTTAAACAGTTCTCTTGCCCCGCCCCCAGTTTCTTTGTATGAACGCGTCTGTGCAGTTTCACAAGGGGGATATCCCTTGTGAGTGTGCGTTCATGTGTTTTTATGGGTGACAAAAGCTCTGCGTACATTTTTGCACCACGGCCGTTTAATTCGAGCTCAAAAGCCCCCTTTTTTCCCCCCGCGCCCCTCCCCCCTTAACAAAATTGTGGGTAATTAAAGAGCCTCTGGAACTAGGCGTGTATGTGAGCTGCGTCTAATTAAGCCCCAGTGAGCTGATTTAGCCAATTAGCTCAAGGCTCAACATTGGGTACCAAAGCATTCCAGCCTCTGCGGAACACGGGAAGTTATCATGTTCTACTTGTCCCTGGCAACGCTCTCATTTCCTCAAGCATTAATCAACCGTCTTATGATTGTGACACAAACAGAAGAGGCGGGTGAGAGGGTGACATCGACACCCTCAGTACACGTTTATGTTGATATCTTGGAGGAACCTACAACTCCAGTTGAGTCAGATGCCAGAAGTGGGATTTGAACCCACAACCTCCATTCGGAGACAATCGCAAAGCATCTCAGACTAACTTTTATCGCAGCTTTCTCTCATATCACCGGTAGCTCCACCTCTGACTGAATCTGATCCCCATTCTTTTCCCCAGGGCTTTGCCCACTAAATAAGATCCTCTTATCCGTCCTGGAAGAGTGTGACAGTTTGCATTAGAGACGGTGAGCGAGCGTGAGAGAGAGATTGAGGTAAAAAGAGATTCGAATCTGTCCGTTTGTCTCTGCAGGAAGATGCGTGTGATGCGGCGTCACGGCCAGATGCCTTCAGAAGATGTTGGAGAGAGAAAGAGGAAGGCGTGATGTGAAGACCAAAAAAAAAAAAATATCCAGAGCTGAGGACTGTTCCCATCTCTGACAGCTGTGTCAGCGCAGGAGACAGCATCGAGGACGCACGGTAATTTGAATAGTTCCCTTTTCTTCTCACCGTTTGACAGCCAGGCGACAGAGCGGTGAATATTCAACACGTCTTTTCCTCCGGTCCTCAGACGCGCGCGTACAATTATAGGAACACATGCGTGAACACAAACACACACACGGAGCTGTGGAAGTCTCCATTTTGCATCCGGGACCTCAGAGGATGGTGACAGGTGAGACGGCACAGGCTCAGGCGGCTGTTTCTACTTGTGACTTTTAAGGCTTTCTCTTCTCTTCTCAGTCTCGTGGCGTGATTGGATGGGACACCGAGACCCACCACTTAGGCAGGGAAACTGACGGCTCTTGACTTTCCGAGGTACTTCTTTTACAACTGCATAAATGACCCATAAAAGCAAGACGGTTGCCTTGCAGGACTATTTTTGTGCTACGATTGGCTGAGTTGTTGAACCGCCTTCTGTCTCCAAATCTCGAATCAAACTCCAAATTAGCCTGCATCGTCGCTACCGTAAGACATCCTTTCAGCGCGTGTCGCTTGTGTGTTTGTGTGCGTCTTATTTGACCACTAAGTTCCAGAAGATGAACGAGGGACGTTTTCATCCCATCTCCCACACACTCCTCCTTCCTCCTGGGTCGCTTTCCTCACCGTTGGATTCGGGGGAAAAGCCTGACCCAGTATTACAGTGACATTATGGGGCCACTCACCACCTTGCTAAAATAAACCCGTGAAGGAGGACCGTGACAGAACGAGGTTACGGCACTCCATCGCAAAAATAAATAAATAAATAAAATAATCAAACAAATAAATGGGGAATGTGTACAAGTGTGGATTCCTGTCCTGGGTGTTTGTCCGCACTCAGTGACATCACACACACCGCCACATAGACATGTTAATGGGCAGACAGCCTTAAATCCATTCCAGATATCTGTTTGAAATCATTTTCCCTTCCCTTCCAGGGCTCTCTCAGGAAAATAAACTCATTGGACCTTTTGAGCTTTTCCTTCTCAAAGTTATTGCCTTGACGCGAAACGTGAAGTCACATACTTTGCTCTTGGAAAAGGTCTAAACAGTTACTTGGGTTTCCAATCAGAAAGCAGATTCATGCACGCTCTTTTTCCGAACCCATTCGCCAGGTACTTGGAGGAGATTGGGTTATGCATGAAACTTTTTTTTTTTTTTTTTAACTGCTTGTTGGATAAAAATCTTGACCTAATGTATTGGATCATCTCCTCAATCCACTGCACTGGGTTCGCGGTTTTGCCCACCTTGGGATACTTTGGACCCAGTTATTTAATTTATTTTTTTTAAAGACTGACGGAGTCTACTTGGAGGGAGAGGAATTGATTCCAACATGGTACTAGACTGAAGTCCTTCAACTCTGGACTTCTCTATGTAATGTAACCCCCCCACCCCCCTAAAATGGTTTCAAAATCTGATCTAGTCAGGGCCTGAAAGATGAACCCCAGCTGGGGTTCTCTCTCTAGCAATTCCAAATTACAAGATGGCGGCCTCCAGGCGCGCAATTCCACAGGCAGGTAACATCTCGATGAAGCCCGACGAGGACGGCGCCAGTTACTGATGTGATCGGCTCCTCGTTGATAGGTAGCGAAGGCTCAAGACAAATGGGCGGCAATGAAATTTGAGGACATTTGACGATCGAAATTATGAATGCGAGCAATGCGGATTCCACGTCATTATTTATTCACCCGCTCTTTGGGTGTGTTTGGATCTTCAAATTAAAGATTGCACTCAGGTGTGTTCCTTTCAAGGCCGTCCGAGCGTGCAAATAACTTAGTCTTTGAGAATATATTTAAAAAAACAAAAAAAAAACTGAGTGGGGTTTTTTTTTTCCCAGATTGGCTCACACATCGTTAATAATATGAAAGATTTACTATCTTCGTGGGGGAGTTGTAAGTCTCTGATCCTCTTCCCATAGATGGCTTGCGCCGAGTGTGAGAAAATGGATTTTGCCTTTTTCCATCTGCTGCCCGCCGTGTGGAACCTTCCCTGGACGTGCTGTCAGCACCTTGAGCCTTTCCAGGGAAAACAAGCAACACTTTTGGGATCTTCACCCTCAAGCGCTCGCACAGTCTTCCTCCATGAGCGTCGGGATTTGTCATAACTGCCAGCGTAACTGAGACTTGACACTCGGAACCGCATGGAAAATCTCACATCATAAATTGGCTGGTATCATATCGTGGCTCCGGGCTCATATCAACAATCTGCAAAACCCAATCCATCTCAAGATCTATATCAGCGACATGCCAACATATCTAAGTAGTCTTCCATTTGCTAGCTTTAGTTTCAAGATTTATTATTTATTTTTTGCGTAAATTAACCTTAAGTACCTGATCAGACAGAAGCAAAATTTGCGGGTCACTGTGGATCGAGCGGTTGATTCGCCCGACTTTTGTGGGGTCAACCTGGGTAGACTCCAACTCAGTGACAGTGTGAATGGCGGTCTGTCTCCTTGTCATGTGACTGACTGGCGACCAGTCCGGGGTGCAGACAACGTTTCACCTGAAGTCGGCCGCAATATTTCAAGGGTCGCAAGTGGCCGCTGTTTGACGAAATGTTGAACACACTTAACATGGACCAGAGGAAGCGAACGAAAACAATGTGGACCCAAATGTTGAATCGTCTCAGTGCGTGATTACATGGACACGACAAATGAATGGATGACTAGTTTTGAAATCAGTCAACCACAATTGTTTTTTTTTTTTATTGTTTAAGTGAGCGTGAACAAGGAAACAAAATTATTGCGGCACCTCAACATTATTTATGGCACATGACAATTTGACGTTTTGGTGCATATTTTGACAAGGATCTGGCCCCTGGGCCTCGAGTTTGACTGTTGACCAAATTTAGTGTGAGTGTCATGATGTCTTTACGCATACAAGTAAAAGCAAATGCACTCTACGAAATAAGGACATGGATGCGTCTCTAGAGAGGGTGCGTGCGCGTGCTTAAAATTTGTGCTTGTGTGAGCACGTCTTAGATATGTCGCCGGCGCAGGTCTCCCCGTTGCCTCGTATCGGAGATCATTGTGCATCCATCAGCATGCCGTTAAGCAGAGCCCGCTGAGGATATGAAATGGCTCTCGCTTTGAGGCCGCTGTCGCTGATCAATGCTTATAAACATTTCGTGTCATACTCAGCCATCAAGCGGCACAATAGCGCGACGCTAACGCCTTTCCGGGGCCGGGATGGCGACGCGTGTATACACGACGCACATGAGTCCTTGGTGTGGCATCTGTGACGCATTGGATGTGTTTGATGCAACATGGCGACGGGCGAAGGGCAGGCACGAGAACACGCGTAGTTTGTTTGTCATGCAGTTAAACAAAAACACCCTTTCAACCAATCAAGCACGAAAAGCAATGGGTGTGTTGCCCTGGGTTGTGTGTGGGTATCATCTGGGGATGGCTTTAGAAAGTAAGCCAATTTATCCAAGGTATCCCATCTTGAATTAGCAGCTAATGACTCTATTAGCTTTCATTTTTGCGCCGAGGAGATTTGCCTGCATAAATTAGGCCGCAATCATCGGCAAAGTGTCACGGCCAAAGGACAGTTTATAAATACAACAGCCGGGCCCTGTCAGCCGGACCGGCTGCTGATATAGACGTCGCCGCAGACTTTGTCGTTGAGCACAACAGACTTGTGCCAGTCACAGAGTGACAGGGGACTGCGGGGGCCCCCGGGGGGAGCTCCCTCACCGCCGTCCCTGAAAAGGTCAACTTGACGCGGGCACGAAACATCGACCTGCCCCCCTGTCGGCCCCGCTGATAAAAATCAGATAAACTTAAGACCACGTATCGATCGGCGCCGCGCAGCCTTAGGCAAATGTTGTCCGAGGACCTCCTCCTCCTCGCCTGCGCATATGATTACGCGCAAGCAAATTCCAATCATGCGGCGTTCAAGACGGGGGGGGGGGGCGGCGATTAGACAGCGAGATGGCTGAAGACAAAGAACGGTTGTGGAATGAGCGGGTTTGTCGCTTTTTATGGCATGTGATTCACTTTAATTTTTTGTGGCTGAAAGTCGAGCAATTTCCGTGGTAAGACAAAGCAGTCGCCGAGTGGTGCTAGTGTGCAAAGCGCCGTTGAACAAGCAGCAGAAGAAGAAGGTTGGCTTGGATGGCCAACGTGAAGTCAGGCCAGCAAATGAATTGGAGTCAAGTGTGTATGAGGGAATTGATCAAGTTCAGCGCGCAGGTGCGGCAAGATGGCGACCGACCTCTCACCCTATTGCATGTCTAACCGCCCCTCTCTTGCAGGTTATTCACCAATGTCCTTTAATCATCTGTAAACATGAATATGATTTTGTCTTATCCTTGATGCCGATTTACACAAATTCACAACTAAACCCTTTCTGCTTAAAGTACAGCCCAAAGTACATCTTTATTCCTCCACTTGCAGGCTGCAGGAGGCACCAAGATCCATCAGGCCAGAGTAAAAACACCACGGTTTGAAATAAGTGTATATTTATTTATTTGTATTTGTATTTTTTTGCAGTGTGAAGTAGCTATTTGGGACGAGATGCACCAGAGCAGTGTGAAGACCAGAACTGGACAAAAGCAGTCTGTGCGTTTTGGAGGGTGGAAGTTGTGTTGTGAATAGTGTGTTTTCAATCGTCACTCTCGCCATGCTGGGTGCCTGTCTGCTGCCCCACACCATCTTTCCGCACTTTTTTTTATTTCTTTTATCCATCCCACACAAACACTTGCACACTCTCCTCATCTGTGTGTTTCTCTCAGGAGGAGGAACGTTCAACCTCGGGGCAAGGAGGTGCTGATAAAGGGACAGGAATGTGACAAGAGCTGGGACCGATGACCGCTGATAACATGAGGTGTGTGCGCGTGATTGTGTGAATACATAAATGTGTTTGTGTGTGCACATGTGAGGCCCATCTGCAGTGTGTGTGTGTGCAAGAATGATTTGGGGGGAGTAGCACAGTTATCAGCTCTGTCTATGTCAGCACCTCCATCTGTTGTTAGCTCTCTGGCCAGCTATGGTGTGTGTGTGTGTGTGTGCGTGTGTTTTGCTCACTTAAGGGAGTTTTGGAGTCACCATGCCCAATGCAGGGAAGAGCTGCTGAAGCCCGCCACGCACAGCTTCAGTCCTCTGCTGCCAACTACTGGCGAAATGTTAGTACAACTTGAATTCATGTGAAGCTCTCGCTCAATCAATGGCTCCCCCCTTACGCCAGGGGTGTCAAACTCATTTTTGTCGCGGGCCACATTGTAGTTCCGTTTTCCCTTGGAGGGCCATTATGAATTTTGGGAAACCATATCAAATGTTTAATCCCCTCCACATCTTACATACACAGCGCACAGCAAATTGATGAATAACTAGTTTTAAAACCAGAAGTCAAGAATAATGACTGTTATTGTGGATTACATATGACAATTTGAAATTTTGGTTCAGACTTTAGCAAGCATCATGGAACTTGACATGCTTGATTTGCTTTCGTGGGCCACATAAAATGATGTGGCAGGCCAGATTTGGCCCCCGGGCCTTGACTTTGACACCTGTGCCATACACATATATAAATACCAGTGGAATAATTAGCAGCGCAATTGAAGAGAATGCCTGAATTCAGACACACGGAGGAAATGGGTGTCACATCTTCTGAGTGGATCGCATGTCAGGCTTTGCCGATTTCTGCACACGCTTCCGAACCCACTTGCTGCTTAGCTGCAGCATTTGGAGCAGATTGTGTGACTTTTACCTCATGTTGGGTGAATTGTTTTGACTCAGCAGATTGGGATGAAGACTGGATTTGGCCCGTTTGAAAGTGGTTGCCATTTGAGGCGTGTCCTGAAGTTGAAGTATATTTAATTAAGATCAAGAATGTTATCCTTAGCAAGTGTCGGTGGTGGCCGCATAGTACAGTGTGTAAACCTGCTAACTTTGTTTGTACAGCGTGGGGGCGGGCTAAATGGTGGTCAGGGTGATTAGCAACATCCAGTTGGGTCTCAATAAACCAGACGGCTGATTCCATCAGGAAGAGCATCTGGTTGAAAAACTGTGCCAATAATGTGCGAGTGACTTCTTGGCAAATGTTGGGAATAAAAATCAGTTTTGACGATAGCCACAGCTATACTGATAAGCTGGTCACATTTCTTGGCAACGTCAGTATTTGTAGTTCAGAATCTTGACCCGAATCCTCAACCCAATGCGGTGTGTGTGTGTGTGTGTGTGTGTGTGTGTGTATATATATATATATGTAGATATATATATATATATATATATATATATATATAAACAAACCAGCATTGATTCCACCCATGGGGTTGGGTTGGCTATTTCACCCTTACATTTGGGAACGGATGCACCCATGCAGGGTGGCCCAGTGGTTAGCGTGCTGACCTCAGAGTACAGAGGTACCGGGTTCAATTCCGGCTCCGGCCTCCCTGTGTGGAGTTTGCATGTTATGCCCGGGCTCGCGTGGGTTTTCTCCGGGTACTCCGGGTTCCTCCTGCATTCCAAAAACATGCATGGCAGGCTGATTGAACACTCAAAATTGTCCCTAGGTGTGGGTGTTAGCGTGGATGGTTGTTCGTCTCTGTGTGCCCTTCAATTAGCACCGTCATCCAGGCACTTCTGTTTATGATTGGCAGTGGCGTAGAACCAACATTACTGAGATATGTTTCTAAATTGCTGCTCGCATTATCTTGCTGTATTAGAAGGAGAATAACCCGTAATGATGTCAGCAGTGGAAAAATTCGTTTGACTTGCTCACAAAAGAAGTGCGCTCGTTATACGTTATCATTCAGTGTCGTGATGGATCACCACGACGTCCAGTGCAAAGCAATCATTTGTACTCCATAAAGTCCAGTCGCGGCTCTCTCGAGATGCTCAAATGAGCTGACTGTTATCGTTCAAATGGCATTCGTTTCTTGAGTCACATCTTCTCAAGAGTCTCCTGTGCTCTTGCTTCTTCCGCTCCCTCCAAAGTGTAGCGCATGAGAGATATCCAAAGGCCATAATAGCAATTGTTTCTCCAGTGATGTACTAACACACATAAACAGCCCGTACCATGTAATTCCGTGCACATTCCCAGCACTGAAACAACTGTTTGCCCCCAAAATACCACGGTTGAAACGCTCAAAAAGTCGATTTTATCATCTCAAATGTATATGGAAATGATCCGGATGCGTGATTCATATGGACAAACCCATGAAATAAGTCATTCTAAATAGGTCATAATAATTATAGAGAGTGCTCCTTGTCGGCCATTATCAGTCAAGTGCATCTTTGCAGTGCAAGGACAAAGGATACCTGGATAGAAGCGTGTGTCTGTGTGTGTGTGCCTCGAAGCGGGACAACAGAATGCAGTTGAAGTTTAA